TGCATTTGGTTTACTTTTTAATATTTCATAAACTCGGGCTAAACTTGAGTTTAAGAGCATCCACAATCATGCTCAATATTTTTTTAATTAAAATTTAGCTAAAAATGCTAGAAAATTATTTTAGGAGTTCTCTACCAAATTTCAAGTCCAACCATACTCCCTAATTTAAAGAGTCATAAATAATATTAATATTTTTTAATTCAATTTTTGAATAGAGTGCAAACACAGAAGCAACAACAAAAAATAGTTGACATTAAATAAATGGTTAAAATACTATTAAAATAAAGGAGCATTAAATTATAGGGAGTCACTAGAAGTTATCTCTCTCTCTCTCTCTCTCTCCTTAAATTTAAGATCTCCTAGAGGTCTCCCTATTTTTCAACTCTTCCGTAAAATTTGTCTAAAGAGGTGTTTTAAAAAGTCCATTGTAGATGTTCTAACCTCCCTTAAAAAATGAGTTCAGTTGAGCTAACCATAAACACTCAATCAATAGATGCTTAGTCAAGCCCAACTCATAGGGCCACCTATAATATTGTTCCACTATATATTGTGTGGGAAGTATCCCATAAAACCTAATCATTTTATGTAATAATTTATGGATATTACCTGTATTTACTTAGAGCATCCACAATGGGCTCCCTAAACTATCTTTTCGGACAAATTTTTGGGAGGAATTGGAAAAATACAACTCCAACCAAGCTCCTTATCCACCTCCTAAAATATGGAGACCTCTAGGAGTTCCTAAATCTAAAGAGAGAGAAAAGACTCTTAGTGACTCCCTATAATTTAATACCGCTTTGTTTTATGCATATTTTAAACTTTTAATTAATACTAATTATTTTTATATTTTCTTTTATAGAGATTGACCAATTATATTGAATCAAAAATATTTATAGTATTTATGACTCCCTAAACTAAGGAGTATGATTGGAGTTCAAATTTTATAGAGAGCTCCTAAAATAGCTTTTGTGTGTTTTTAGCTATATTTTAACTAAAAAATAAAGAGCATGATTGTAGATGCTCTTATAAATTAAATTAAATTAATGACGAGACACTAAGAAAAGTATGCATGTGCTCGATAGACGGTGAATTTACTAAATGCGATCAATCAATAGTTATTTTGTGGAAGTTGTACTTATATGTAGGGGTGGGCATCTTAAACCGAAATACCGAAACCGTACTCTAACCACACCGTACCATACCGATTTTATACCGTTTCATTTGGTATTGAGAGATATTCGGTACCGTACCGTACCGTACCAATAGAGTATGATATGGTAGCGGTATCAAGATTTTGGTACCGGTCAATACCGTACCGTACCGAATAGTATAACTTTATGTTTTTGTCATTTATGTTTGGATTGTGTTTATATTTTTGTAATCCATAAGACATAATTTTAACTATTTTGGTTTGTAAGCCATAAGGCATGAGTTTTAACCATTTAGATTTGATGAATCTATTGATGGATAAATATTAATTTGGTTGATTTGGATATTGAATATGTTGATTAGGATTTGGATATTGAATATGTTGAATCTTTGAATTTGTAACTTAGGCATCACTTATTTTGGTGTTGAATATTGAATTGGTTCATTTTTTAGTTGTATCATTTTGGTACCGAGATGGTACCGATACCGTACTGATACCGATTTGGCACGGTACGGTACAGTACCAATTTTGGCAAACCATAATCCCATACCGTACCATACCGATTTAAATTTCCGGTATCGATAGCGGTACGGGCTCAATACCGTACCATACTGCACCGTGCCCATCCCTACTTATATGTCAAACAAGAATATTAAGTCGCAATAATGAATACTGGTACTTAAATCTTAGACACCCTATTTGTCTTATAAGTAGATTGTGTATTATTGGGTTTGCGATTAATCCATACAAGTATGTGTGTGTACAATAAGAGCATTTCCAGCAAGGGCAGGCGGGGGGCGGGGGGGGGGGGGGGGCTGGGGGAAAAATGCTGTTTCCAGCAACACAAAGCTGCCAGGGCAAGGAGTGGGGCCCAGCTACCTGGGCTGGCCCGAAGGCAAGTTCTGCCTAAGGTCCAAAACGAGGGGGGTTACTGTAGCGCTACAGTATCTGCTACAGTACCCCCGCTACATTATCGCTACAGTACCTCGCTGATTTGATTTTTTTCCTGTTGCCACGTGGTGTCGTCTGGGCTCTCCGATCTGATTTTTTCTCCAATCAACGGCAGCCAATTTTTTGCAATAAAATACTGGAAAAAAATTCGGAAATTTTTTTTAAAAAATACCCAAAATTAATGAATTTTTTCTATAAATACCAGCTTTTTTTTTTTTTTAATTTATCTGAAATTGAAATTGAAAATTTTATCCGATTATGAGATATTAATAGTATTGACACGTAGGAACTCGAAAATATTATCCAAATTAATTATTGAGGTAAAAAAAGTTGTGAATAAAACAAAAAAATGAATAGTAACTGCCCTTAGCAAGGGCAATGGGTGGAAACACAAAATTCGGATTTTGCAAGGGCAACTACTATTCACGTGAATAGTGGCTGCCCTAGCTCCTCCCTTGCCATGGCAAGGGGCAAATGGGTGGAGTGCTCTAAGGCCCAGGCAAAGCAACCTAAAGGCCCCAAGGGTCAGCTCACTTGATTGTTTTTAAAGAAGAATTTAAAAATAAGAAAAACTATTTTAAAAACAAACAAATATATATATATATATAAATACAAATAAAACAAAAAACAAAACATTGTTTTTTCATCTCTATCTTCTACAGGGACATCGTCCACCTCAAGGGGCACCCCCAACCCATGCTAGGCGACAAGGCCAAACAGCCCCTCTCCAAATCTAACTTCCAGACGTGCACCCACCCTCTATCTCACCATAATTGTCACCTCATATCCCATTTGCAATTTAAAATCGATAGACTGCCAAATCGACCAAACTGAATAGGTTGGTTTGGAATTTTTCACTTAATTTTTGGTTTTGGTCAACAAATCGAACGGAACTGGTTGTGAAGAATGTTTCAAAAAAGTATGTGCCAAAGGGGACTCAAACCTTTAACCTGCTTGTTGGAAAGAAGCACTTCTAACACTTGTTTGGGACTGCTTTTCTACAAAGCAATTCTGCTCACAAGGGCTTCTGGCAAAAGCGCTTTTAAAGATGTTAAATTTTCATAAGAAATCCAATTGCTTCCTAGAAAAGCACTTGTGAGTGCTTCATGAAGAAGCACATAGTAGGTTCTTCTCCAGAAAACGTTTCTACGATCTAGAAGCACTTATAACATTTTATGCCAAACACTATTAAAAGTGTTTTTGTTTGTCAGAAAGCATTTGTAACACTCCCAAATAGGCCCACCACTTTTTTGTGAACCCCTAAAACAAAAGTGTAGCATGCACAGTTTTAAAAAAAAAAATCAAATGTTCTTTGTAGTAGATCAGCTTCACGGTGGTTTCAAAGAATTTGGGAGCAGTTTCTATATAGTTTATGCTAGTTTTTGTCATCAAAAGTTATGGCAACCCTTTTAAATATAAATGTATATTTACTCTAACGCTTTGTTGTCAAAGAAAGTGTTTTTTATCAAAGTAATCAATGTCAAATGAGCACTATCTGATTTCTCCCTCATAGGAAAAAAACAAAAACAGACATACAAAAGTCAACTGGCCAGCGCATAAGTCCATGCCAAGAGGTAGTTGGTAATTGAAATTTAAAATGTCTCAGAAAAACAAACCTGGAGTAAGCGGCAAATTAGCACTATCCGCAATCCAAATGCTCAGTATACCACTAACGCCATACAACAACAACTACCTACAAAGACTGGAGAAATAAAGCAAGAAATAAAGATCGATGTATATATATTTGTGTTGTAAGATGAGAGAAATAGAACAAGCAAAAGAAGAAAAGCAATGGAACCGAAGAAAGTAAACAAACAGGCCCTTAATCCCCAAAATAAAGCAAAAATATTACAAAAGTTACGAACAAGAGTTTTCCTACTAAAGTGTGAAGGAACCACTCGTGTTCTGCTCACCCAAAAAACATCAATAAATAGTAAAGAAAATAAAGAAAAACTAAAGTGTTAATTAGGCAATCACAAACATTGCAGTTTTCGCACACAACAATATATACTACGTATACTATGTCATACATACATAAAAATACATGTCCGGGAGTGGATCCTCCTATCTGGAATCCAAAGCTAATGTCTCACTTGCATTCTGCACCTTTGAACTCAAATTGTTCTTGCTTGGGCAACTGATTCCTAGTCGAACATTTCAAAAATGTTATTAAAAATCCTTATTTGCAATTTAGTCATTATAACTAGGGGTGGCAATTTCGGGCACGCCCCGTTACACGACTCGAAACTCGCACGAGAATTTAGCAAGTTCAACAGCACGATTAAAATTTGGGTCATTTTCAGGTCAACTCACTATGACCCGTTTAATAAACGGGTGGGTTTTGGGTCAACCCGCCAACTCGCTAAAATACTTATGTAACTCGCCAACCCGCTAAAAAACTCATGTAACCCGCCAACCCACTAATCCGTTTATTTGTTTATTATTCTTTTTTTTTTAAGTTTTTAAGTTGCTATCACTTAGCGGGTCAATCCAACACGACCCGAAACCCGCACAAGAACTTAATAAGTCAACCCGAGCATGACATGTTTATTAAACGGGTTGGGTTTGGGTTGAGCATTGCTGACACGTATATAACCTGACACGACACGAACCCGACACGATGCAACCCATTGCCAGCCCTAATTATAACTAGCTACACTTGTCAATAATTTCACTTTTGTCCTTATACTTTCCTTTATTTTCACTGTGGCCCTATACTTTTTCCAATACATTTCGGTCTTCAGACTTATCCATAATTTACTTTGGTCCTTACATTTTCCTTTATTTGCACTTTGGCACTTATACTTATTTAAATTATCTTTTGGTCCTTCCACTTTCAAAACCGGTTTGGGCCAACAACTCAGACACAAATTTCCAGAAATCGAAGCATCTTAAAACTTTACCTTAATATTGGTCCGAAATCCTGGGTGAAGCTGCCAAAGAGAAATAACCAACTCAAACAACACTTGAAAACTAACAAAAGCTTGTTTCAGGTGTACCACTGCCGAAAAGACTTCTGAACAACCTCATGAAGGAAGTATTGTCATCTGAGCAAGGCAAAAGTGACATACAAGAGTGAATAAGGTACTGTACAGTAATAACAGCAGAATCCGAGGAAGTGACGAACATGCTTACCACAGACATAGCTAGAGTAGTTGGATTGCTCTGATTTTTGGGTATGTCATAGTTGTCAACTGAGGATTAGAGAAGGACATTTTGTCAAACGAGCACCGGAGATTAAAGAAAACTGATGAAAACAGAGCTGCACAAAACTCACCAGCCATGGATGAACACAGAAATGTCATAGCCGGTTCGAGGTAGCTAGACCCGTCTGATGATGCTCATGTTTGGGTATGATATAGTATTCGAACAGACGAACAACTTTGATGAAGAAAGTTTGCTGATTTGAGCTTTCGAAATCAGACTTCTAGAGTGATGAATAATACCCACGAGTTAGGGTTTTCTGAAGAACAAGATGAACGTTGACCCAAAAAGGAGAAAAATGAAAGAGAAAAGGACAAAAGAAGAACAAAACAAAGAAAGTGTCGGCAGCCTTACCCAAAATTCTCAAAAGAATGTGGCCAGCCCGAGTGTGAACAGTACCCACTAGTTGAATGATGGTTACAACTTACAACAGAGAAAGTCACATGTATTTTTCGCAACTTTTCCCCAAGATGGAGGTAAAGATGAAGTTATGAGTGAACAAAACTTTTCACCTCTGCATTTTCCTCATTTCAGAATCTCTAGTCAAAATCTTTCAGTCTGTTTCAATGAAACTGTTTCTCATTTCAGCATACAAACACCATTTCCTCATCCAAAATGAAAAGATGTCATCAAACTCGTCTGGTGCCGTTTCCATAATGTTGCTAGTTTCCGTAATTCTCTGCGCTCTATAAAATGAAAGGAACGGTATTGCATCATCTTTGCTAATATTAGCTTCAATGAAGTTATTGACGAAAGCAGAGCATGCTTGATGAAACGAGCTACCTTGTGAAAGAACAAAATGAATAATAGAATAAAAGGAGAAAAGAGAAACTCATCCTTCGAAACTGTAAATTCAATCAGATTTATTTTTAATGTTACCAAAAAAACAATAAAGAACTTTTTCTTTTCAAGAAGTATTATTTTAAACAAAGTATTCTTACTTGTACCGTTTTAAGAACATATTTTTACTTGTATAGGTTTAAAACCATTGGTAAAAATGCACTATCGAAAGAAAAAAAAAACTCCTAATACGAGGCTTATGCTGTATTACCAAGTCAAGGAGCTCAATAAAGAAACTGGGCCTGAAATCCTCTGGTCAGGATGGGCCATTTCTTCTGTTGCAATTATGGCAGCGGTGACTCTTTCTCAACTGATTTTCAAGACCTAATCCCTAGTAGATGTTGACAAATGTGAAAAGAGGCAGATTGTACAAACCAAGGCAATAAAGTGAAAGGGAAAAAAAGGGCGAGTTATTGGCGTGAAAGAGAAGAGGTAGCAATTTTTCTTCATTTTTTTATTTTTATTTTTTTATGGAGAAATGGGTAGATGATGTGATTAATTACAAGTAGACAATATCGCTCAAATTAATATAGTGGTAAATAGAGTATCTTTCCAACAATGATCAAGTTAATCTAGTAAAAACTAAAGTGATTTTTTTAAAATTATATTTGAATTAAACGATAAGATGATTAAAATGTAATTAAGCAAGTAAAGGGATCTAAGGTCAATCTAGGTAAAAAGCCTTAGATGTTCAATCCACAAAGAGTTTTATAAGAATAACCTAACTCTTACGTATTGAAGAAATATTTTGCTTGAATAAGCTCCCCTTAAGATAGTATTCATAAAGGTCCAAAGTTTGGGAGCTAGAACCCAAAAGAAATGCAGATAAAGCCCAAAGTCAAATGTACAACATACCTAAAAAATGACGTAAATGCCCTAAAATGAGTAGGATTACGCTAATATATGCCAGTTTTTATGTCGAATAGGTCGAGACGCTTTGGGAGGCGAAGAGGATTGAGCTAATTTTTGGTTTATTATCACGTTCTTAAGATATTTCTAGTGTATTGCAATGTGTGTTTATTTTTTGAAGTTGATGTAGTTCTCTTTGATAATGAACACGAGTATTTTGTTTGGTTTTATCTATTAACTATGAAGTAGAGTATTATTGTTTCATTTCAATTGGTCTATTTTGTATATGGAATTTTTTTTTAACCTTTTACACGTTGACCCCTAGAATGAAAATTCATGGATCCGCCACTGCTGCCAACCACTCTCACTTATAGGGTTCATTGCTTGCTTAAAATTCTGTATTTTGTGACATTATTCTACTTGCCAAAGACCAACTCCAGAATTGCCTTGAATACGGGGGGAATTTCATTCTTAATTCAAATTAAATGTTTAAAGTGATAATAAATGAAGAATATTAATGTTTAGTGTGAACAATATTTTCTATCAAATGTTCGGTGTAGTAGACTAACTCCCCATTGCTTTGGAACAGTTTGGGAACGAGTTCGGTATATCTTATGCAAGTCTCTGTCGTCTTCCTGAGTTATGACTAGTTTTGTTTTGTTTTTTTTCATTTAGTTATGGACTTAGTTTATACCCTAACCAAAAGAATTTTTTTACAATTTGCAGGTGTCTGAACGATCGTCGTGTTCAATTAAACCAATCCTCCATTGTTTTCTTCCGATGGCACAAAGAAGACGTTGATCTTGATGAAGTTTGATTCATCCACCTCACAAACCCATGCAGCACAGCGTGCTTCCTTTCTGAACTTCAAAACAAGATGAAGATGCCAAGCCACGGGGATGGAGTTTCTAACTCGGGAGAACTGATTTATCCATCAATTAATCGAGGGCATGTTATTGCTGATAATTTCAGATATCTATTAGTAACTAGAAAGACTTTGATAGTCCTCATTAATGAATTGATGATTGAATTTTAAGTCAGGTACTGTTTCTAATTTGATAGCGGGACCAATTTGGATTTGTGGGTTTTACTTTTGAGATTTTCCTTTCAATCACAATTTTGGCTGGATCTTGATTGTGGAGTCAATTACAACCTTTAGATCATCTCATTGAATTGATTGAAAATACGGGATACCTACACTACACTACATTGGATTGCATCACAGCAGATTCCCTAACGCACGCAGGCTGTCCTTATTTTAGTGTTATTCGGACAATTAAACTGTCCTTATTTTAGTGTTATTCGGACCATGTATTTTTTTGGCCGTTAGATGGATCGTTGATATTACTTGATGGATACATAGAAGAAAAAATGGTAATATATTTTAAAATTGGATTTTTTTTATTATTATATAGGAGTCGAAAAATGAGTATGAGTAGGATCTTTCTATTAACAACTTTGGTTAATTTATACATCCACTTGGCCCAAATTAAACTACACTTAACTTTCATGCTTGTAATTTGATTAGCTAGATACCACAGTTGAGCCAAACATCCAAAGATTCAATATGGTAATGTTACATATGAAAAGGAAGATCCAAATAAATCCAGTTTTATAATACAACTAAAGATAATAACTAAATTATCTGATCAAAGAGATGCAATGGCAGGATATGAGGAACATTAACATGTATAATCAGTGATGAAAGCGACTGGTATCTTGTAGATGTGCACCACAACATATCATGTAGTCTTGTCCCTAGCTTCTTGGCTTCTGATGATATTCTTCTCAAAGATTATGCAAAATAAAGAATAAAAAATTATTATCTATCATTAAAATAGAAAATCATAGATAGCTTAAACACGTGGACATGGACTAATGACATGAGAAAGATAAGGCAAAGAAAAATAAAAAGCAACGCCAATTCATGAAAATATATTAAGCTATACATATATCTTCTATTGATTTTATAGTGACCGACCAGAGTGCTTGGTTGAATTGAAAACATACCTTCTTTTCTCTCCACGTGGACGCTTAGTAGACACATGTCGGCTGCTTATACATATAGAGACTCAGGAGCAAACGCTTTTAATTTTGGACACTCATAAACTTCGACTTCCTCCAAGGCTGGCCAATTCAAAGTATAAGCTTCAGAGCAGAAAGATTCAAGTTTGGGTAAACTCCCAAGTTGAATACAATTCAATTGAGGAAATGTCAATTCATCCTCAATACTTTCTCCTCCTCCTTCTGCCTCTCCAACAATTTTCTCCATCGCACTACAATCGTCAAACTTCTATTCTCTCAAGGCAGGTAAGAAGTTTGGCTATGTGCGGTGAAAACAAGTATCTCAATTTGTCACACCCACATACTTGCAGTAATCTGAGGTTTCCAAAGCCTGAGCTAACTTGTAAACCCTTTTCCCATATGTGGCTCAGCATTGGTAAATACAACAACTTCAATTCCCTCAGCTTATCAAATGCTTGAGTAGAAGGGGTTTCCTGAACCAAAAATATCACTTCTAATAAATCGCACTGAAGTACTTCGAGATGTTCTAGATTGTCGCTAGCACTTGAAGTCTGAAGATTTGTCGGCGTAACCTGCCAAAAGGGTAGAAAAGTAATTGTATAATTTGTTAGCGTTTCAATCATATACATACGGGATGTTATCACATTCTAGAAATCAAGAAGGTTGTTTAAAATGAAAAATGAAGTATTCATATAAAAAGAAGAAGATCATTTCACAAGTTACCAGTATTCATATAATGCCTTTGTTGTACTAGTGTAGTTGAGTTTCTGTCAAAAAGATGTCCTGAGACACTTTAAACAGAAACTTGTTCTATCCTTGGTTGTATTATATGCTACCTTATTTGTACGGCTTAGATTAAGCCACATAGTCATTCTCATATGTGTGGCTTACCCGATTCTTGGCTGAGTGATATAATTAGCCTTGACTTCTAATATTTATCATTCCAAGACAATATACAAAATGTGTGCTCAAGAAGCTAGAGAGAACAGGTTTTCTCCCATATCACATTTCTGGATTTTCTAACTTGAGACGTATTTTACAGAAATTCCTTCCTTGTTTATTTGCTCTTTTTTCTCTTGTGCGTGTGTGTGTGTTAGTTGAACCACAGCACCAAGATATCTCAAATTCCAATATAAAGTTTGGCTTTCCAAAAATTCACTTATTGTGAGGCTTCAAATTAATAAAACATAAATAAATCTATCTATTTCAGACTTTATCTTCAATGACATCTGTACCTAAGACCAATTTTTACAAAATAGAGGTATCCCTCTCCGTAAGTTATATATGTGTATACTAATATTGAGATGCGTAGTTTAGAATAATGGCGTACCTCTCTATTTACAACCTGAGGCAATATTTGAGTAAAGTTGCGAGTAGATGGACGACTTTGAAAGCATACTAGTGGCGAACATCCAGATCCAGTTGATGATGATGCACCACCTGATTCTTCTCTACCTCTTACATGATCATCACTCAAATTCTCTGCAATTGCAGGCAGCTTTTTGCTTAGTGGTGCAAAACCCAATGTCTTTAATTTGCGACAACTTGACACCTCCATAGTTCTCGTGGAGGAGGGCCATGCAAAGGAATAGGCATCAGGGCAAAATCTCTCGAGGCTTGGCAAATAGCTAAGGTGGAAGCTATTGATCAGTAGTTTGGGAAACAAAGTCATCGCGCCACTGCCACCTATCTCTTTCCCTTCTTCATGGATATTGTCCTCTGTGGAAGCAGCTGCCTGTACTATAGTTTCCATATTCTCACATGCATATATATGGACATGTTGGAGATTCACAAGGAGCCTGTAAATTTCATAGGGGCATAGATATTTCAGATTGTGACAAGATCCAATTGTTAAACATCTTAAATTTTGAAACCCATGGAATCCAAGTTGAACGTTCTTCCACAAATGTTCAACTCCACATAAAGAATACGCTGTGAATGTTTGTAATTGAGAAAATGCTGAATCATGCCCTTCTAAATCAAATACCACATTGACTACTAGTTCTTCTGACCCGTTCTCGCTTGTCAAAGAGTCCTTTGATTCACTGTTTTCTCTAGTTCTTCTAAACAAATAGCGCATGGCTACTGGTTCATTGTTCAAATGCTCAATGCAAGTTCCTCTAGATTTGTTAACCATGAAATGCAATTTGAAGGAAATAGTGCAGTACAACTTGCTCCCACTTGTGCCACTTTTGATTTAGATGAGGTTGACCCAGCAACTTGATTGTCATTTCTAGTCTCTTTCACCTTGTTCACACTTTCTTCGTTGGGCTTTAGAATCTGTACATTAATTAATTCTACATAAATAATGAACTTATACATGAGCCAAAAAGAAAGAAATACATAAGTAATGAACTTCCACAATTTGTCTTATTTCCAAATTGCCTTAATTATATTCCCACATCCTCTGTCATAAATTTTGAGAAATAATAATAATCCCCTTTTCCTACCCTCAATTACTATTTACCAATAAACATTTTTAACTCTAAGGACATCTCAACCTTAATTTTCCAATGAAAATCATAGGTGTGAAGATTTAGAAATATAATCCCCTTCTATTAAGGGACATTCTAAACACACTACAAATTGGTTTTCAATTATCCAAACTGCCTATTTCTCAACTCTGTATTCATAGATTATACTTACAAAAATTAGACAATTCGGAAACCATTTCGATATCTAATTATGTTCTACAAAATTGATGAATACAATGCTTCAAGAAAGTACTAAAATCACAATAATTTAATTGAGCGGTCAAATGATATATGATTCAAGTGATTTTTTCAGAGATAATTTTTTATTAAATATCTATAAAATAGTTGCAAAAAATTGAAATCCATAAAAATCTCCAACATACCAAAAATGATTAAGTTCTACCCAAATCAACTTCTAGAACTGGAACGACAGTATTAAACACAACAAAAGTAGCATATTCAAAAGAGTAACAAGTATATACCATTCAAGCATCAAAAGTGCATACATACATACCTCATAGGTGGAGTCCCGTTGGTTTCCCGTGTAGAAACCACGGAGCTTTGGTAGAAAATGAAGCTCCAAAAAGTTAATCTTGGGAAACTTATCCTGTGAGATGCATTATCATCTTCCATTCTCTCCTTTGATATGATCTCTTCCACTTTAGCACAATTTTCAACCGTTAAGCTTTGGAGTTGTACCAAGTTTTGTGCTATGGATACTGAAAATACATATTTTAACTCATCACAATTGTTAATTGCTATGGATCTTAGGTTCGTAAAGGAGCGCTTGTCTAGCAGTTTGCCACAACACACAAATTTTAATTTGTGAACATTGTTGAAGGTAGCTGACTTTAAGATGGGGAAGGCAGGTTGACCACCAGGAGTCCAATTCATTCCATTCATAAGATACTCTATGTTGTCGTCACACATGATTGATAAAACTTTCAAGTGTTGAAAGCCTCCTTGACCATCTAACTCCTCGATGACATACTTTAAATTGTATGTGTAAAATAGGACTAAGTCTTCAGATTGCTTCAAGAAGTATCTAACTGCTCCAATCTCCAAATATTCCTTTACATCACCACGAAGCATCAAACTATTTTCGAACAGATACGCAGGCATTCGATTCTTGAAACTCTCTTTTTTGTAAGACCAACTAATATTGATAGATACATGAAATCTTGTGGGCTGGCTTTTTAAAATAAACTCATCATTTCCGCAACATCTGAACATCAGGGATTTTTATGGCTACGACATTTAAATGATCAAACATAGACATCACCTCATCAACGCTTGCCATACTCGTTTCATCCTTGGTTTCTGTTGCTGGCCCCCAATTGAGAAAGCTTTCTGCCATGTACAACTCTTCTAATCTCCTCAAGTTGGATAAGACACCGTGAGGAATTTCTTCAAGTCCTTCACAATCTGTTGCATCCAGTATCCTTAACTTATGAAGATGTCCTATTTCTCTAGGCAACTTATTGATTTGAGAGCGAGCAAAGCTGAGGATCTCCAAATTCTCCAATCCTCCAATAACATGGGATATGTCTCCCAAATTGCAATCCTCTAGACACAAGGTATGAAGGTACTTGGGTTCTCCAAGCAGTAGAGATTTTTCCGAGGCCAAATAGCTTGACATATTCACCTTTAAGAAAGCTAAAACCTTGAGTTCTTTCATTCTTTTAAAGTGGTTGGAATATTCTGAACTACTTGAGGAATTTTTCAGTTGCAGAAGCTCAAGTTTGGGGCACTCCAAACCATCAGTAATATTTTCATCCAATTTAAAATCAATTAATGAAATTGCACTGCAATGTTCTTGGTTTGTAACTTTTTGTACCCCTGGCCGTCCTCCACCTCCACCTTCAGCATCAAATGATCTTACCATAAATCTATGAGGATCTTTTGAGGCAATTGATATGGCAACATCACGAACTACGTCATGCATTTTGATACACTCTTCCTTATGACTATCCAACAACAAATACCTTCTTTTTAGTTGTCCAACGAAAGAATGCACTTTGTTTCTTACATCTTCGATTATGTTGGTGTTTCTAAAAGTTGCTCGACCCAACCCATACCTCACCAAATACTCAATCGGAATATCATAATCTTCTGGAAATAAGCAACAAAGTAAAAAGCATGACTTGACTTTTAAAAAAAAAAAAAAAAAAAAAAAAAAAAAAAAAAAAAAAAAAAAAAAAAAAAAAAAAAAAAAAAAAAAAAAAAAAAAAAAAAAAAAAAAAAAAAAAAAAAAAAAAAAAAAAAAAAAAAAAAAAAAAAAAAAAAAAAAAAAAAAAAAAAAAAAAAAAAAAAAAAAAAAAAAAAAAAAAAAAAAAAAAAAAAAAAAAAAAAAAAAAAAAAAAAAAAAAAAAAAAAAAAAAAAAAAAAAAAAAAAAAAAAAAAAAAAAAAAAAAAAAAAAAAAAAAAAAAAAAAAAAAAAAAAAAAAAAAAAAAAAAAAAAAAAAAAAAAAAAAAAAAAAAAAAAAAAAAAAAAAAAAAAAAAAAAAAAAAAAAAAAAAAAAAAAAAAAAAAAAAAAAAAAAATATTAGAATACAATTTGTAGCCTGATTATTTCAGCACACTATTTCTAAAAGCTGATTACACCAGCATATTTCCCAATTCTCTAGGCACCCATATGTTCTAGTTTTTATTTATCTATTATTATTAGAAAATACAAAGTAAATTACACCAAAAAAAAAAGAAAAAAAAAAAGAAGAAGTCCCAACGGATATTAATACCAAAAAACTAAAGGTCTGTTTGATAACCATTTCTATTTTATTTTTTATTTTTTATTTTTTATTTTTTGTGCTAGAGTATAGAGGAAAATGAGAGTGAAGATGAGATTGAGAGAGAAGATTAGAGAGGAGGATAAGAGGAAGTAGTAACAAAAGTGAACACACAAATTAAAAACTAAAATATATTTGAAATTGTTTTCACTTTCAAGTTTTGTTTTCACTTTTGTTACTTTTCTCTCCCATGTCCCCTCTCATCCTCTCTCTCAATCTCATCCTAACTCTCATTTTCTTTTATAGTCTAGCATAAAAAATAAAAACTAAAAACTAAAGCTGAAATGGTTATCAAACGAACCTTAAAATTTTAATTCAATATGACACAGGATAAAGGAAGTACCCAAATACAAATATGACGAAGAGTATGTCTTAAATTTACTAGAACGTTTGCTACCATAATGATTTCTCGAAAATTACATGTGATTCTAACTGCTTAAAAGTTGGAAAAATGAATTTAATTTCTTAGGCGCCGTTTGATAACCATTTCAATTATTTTAGATTTTAGTTTTCATTTTTTGTGCTAGAGTATTGAGGAAAATGAGAGTGAGAATGGGAATGAGGTTGAGATTGAGAGAGAGAATGGTAGGGGAGGGAGGGAGGAGAGAAAAAAAAGTGAAAAAAAAAAAAAAAAAAAAAAAAAAAAAAAAAAAAAGTGAAAAAATATTCAAATAGATTTCAGTTTTTAGTTTTAGTTTTCACTTTTGTTACTCATCCCTCCCATGCTCCCCTCTCATCTTCCCTCTTAATCTAATCTTTATTCTTGTTCTCACTTCCACACTCTCCCTCTTCACTCTACACTCATGCACAAAAAATAAACATTAAAAATTGAAATTGAAATGGTTATCAAACGGGTCATTAAATACTTGAATGCAATCTCGAGGGAACTGAAGTTTGACATTGTAGAATTTGGATCAGATTTTTTGAATAGCCTTTAATTTCTATTTTTGAGAGGTGTAAGCCCATTAAAGTGTTGCCCGTAATGCTAAAACATTTAGGCAGCCAAAGTAAAATATTTCTATAAAAAAAGTTAGTAACACTCAATTACTATTAAATGTTTGATTTTTCAATCAAGATACATAATAGTACTTGATAATTTGTTTTTCAACATAAAATGAGTTTGCTAACATATAGGATTATATGTGTAATAGACACAAGTTTGCTAAATACTTACAACTTTCTCTTGTGTGTAATTGCACAAGTCTATCATGGTTACGGTTGCTTGAACTTGGACAATAGTTTTGGTATACTTATACAAACAAAAAATAAAAAAAAAAAAAAAAAAAAAAAAAAAACAAATTTTAGTTTGATTTACATGTTTTTTTCTTCTTCTTTTTTTCGTCGAAAAAGGTGGATTGATAGCACATGTTCATTTTGCGTTGAAGAGAAGGTTTAAGAAGGACCATGTACCTGTTGGTTATGGAGCCACTGGCACCCTGAACGAACTAATTTAAGGTCTTTTGCAATTTCAAGGTCGTTGTCGTCCAAAGAAGGGGTTCATATATTCAGCAATAAATTTTATTGGTTAATTCATAACGTAGTGGTTGGAGAAAAGCAAGTGTGAATGTGTTGAAAAAAGACCATTTCATTGTCAAATAGAGTGAGAAAGCAGCAGCTGGAGCTGGGCCATTAGACTAACTGCATGTGACATAAATTGTTTAGTTTCCTAAATTATTTGTTAGTTTCCAATATTCTTTAGTTTTCCAAATCCTAGTAGGATTTCTATGTTTCCTATTTTATTAGGAATATGATTTCTGTTTTAGCTCGGGATTTTAATCCTATTGTCTCTAGGTTTTAGTTTGCTATAAATACCCCTATGTAGTTATTTACAGTTCAGATTTGAATATTGATTAAACATTCCTTTAAACTCTATGATTTCTGACTGCCTTCTACCTTTTCTTCCCTTAAGCTTTTCTTATCTTTTCTGTCCTACTACTCTGAGTGTTTAAACTAACACACCCAGGGCTGTGCTACATCAATTGGTATTCAGAGCCTCTTGCTCCGCCGTCGTTACTCTGCTTCGTTGCCGCTATTGGTCGTCATGGCTCCCAACATCACCGTTGCCAATTTGGCTGACCAATTTCAGGAATTCAAGGCGAAAATTTCTACAGATGTCACCAATTTGGAAACTCAGTTCACCAAATTGATGGCTGATCAAAAGACTCAAATTTCGTCCATGTCCACAGATATTGCCAAATTACAAGCTTCCGTGACGCTGCTCGTCAACCACCTCCCAACCGTGACTCCTAAACCATCCTCCACATCTGCTGTTCTCTCTCGTTCATGCACACCTTCTCTCCAGGCTGGTCTCCTTCCCAATCCGTCTAAGGATTCCAAGTTCCACGGCCACTTGGGCCTTCCATCAGCTTCTGCAGGAACATCTATGGTTCAATCCGAACTAACTTTTTCCGCAGGATCTGCACCTAAACCCCATTATACCCAACACACGGTGGCTTCTCCTCTAGTGGACGCCACTGTCCCGCCCCGACCACATGAACATCACGTCGTCCACCGAAACTTGGATTTCGAGATCGCCTGTCATGCCAAGCCTACTGCCCCTGACTTTAATGGTCGCGAGGATCCTACTCTCTTTGTTGATTAGATATCGGCTATGGAAGATTATTTTGACTGGTACGACATGTCCGATGCACAATGGATCCGGTTCACCAAACTCAAACTCGTAGGAGCCGCAAAACAATACTGGAAGGCTACCGAACATCATCTCCAACAGCTGGGACAAACCCCTATGATTTTATGGGATGAGATGAAATTGAAACTCCGTGAACAATACCTTCCATCTCTTTATCGTCACCAATTATTAGATCAATTATGGACTCTGTCCCAGGGTACTTCAACAGTCCAAGACTATTATTCTCGCTTTATGGAGCACAAATTGCGTTCTGTTGTACAGGAAGAGTTGGCAGTCACAGTTTCTCGTTTTAGAAGATGCCTATTGCCAAGCCTTGGAAGCTGAGACCTATCTGCGACCACAATGTCGATACCCAGGATATCCTAGTCAGCCTGCGACCACCAACCAAGCCCGCACTACAACTCCAGGTCTGAAGTCCAAATTTTCCGGCCCAACTAATCCTACTGCACCACCTACCAAAAGACCGACCATCTCTACTGATTCCCACATTGAATGTTTCCATTGCCATGCTAAATGACATATTGCCTCTCGTTGTCCACAACGCACATTAACCATCAGCGCTAGCACGGATGACCATTGTGATGTAGAGATTTTGGATCCTCTTGAGGGTATCTATGACCCAGAAATTGACGATTGTTTTGATGATGACGTACTAAATTAGGTTTCTGTTATGCGTTGTATCTATTCCGCACCTGCGTTGCCTGATTCCTGGAAACACACTAGTATTTTCCATACCTACGTTCCATGCAATAACCAAACATGTAAACTGGTTATTGATGGTGGTAGTACCATGAACGTCATCTCCAAGTCTGCTGTTACTCGTCTTAATCTCAAGCCCGAACCACACCCTCACCCTTTTCACGTAGCTTGGGTTGATAAAACTAAACTACCGGTCACTGAGCGGTGTCTTGTTTCCCTTAAGCTAGGGACCTGCGATGAAGACATTTATTTGGATCTACTACCTATGAATGTTGCACATGTATTACTTGGCAGGCCTTGGCTCTATGATCACCGCATGCAGAGTTGTGGTCGTGAAAACACATACACTTTTCAACATGAAGGCAAAAATATTACGTTGCGACCAGCCAATCCTGCGATTAAACCTACCAAGACTAATGTTGCCACCTCCTCCCCATCGCAGACAGGCAAAAGCGTCAGGTCATCGGTTGGCTCTATTATCTTATGGCGAATTTGAGAAAGAAAGTCTGGAGACAGGAGTTGTATTTGCTCTCGTGATCAAAGAGATATCTGCAGCCCCTTCCTATACGAAATTTGAACCTCTACATCAACTCCTCAATGAATTCTCCGATGTCATGCCTGATGACCTCCCAGAAGAACTACCGCCCATGAGAGACATTCAACATGCCATCGACCTTGTACCTGGATCACAACTTCCGAATCTTCCTCATTACTGCATGAACTCATCTGAACGTGCTGAACTAAACACGCAAATTAGAGGTCTGTTGGATAAAAGATTAATTCGCCATAGCTTGAGCCCATGTGCTGTCACTACAAGAAAACATGGACCTGGCAACGAAATATTAGACAACGACTAAAATCTCCTTGCCTATAACAACAATAGGTAACAACTTTTGAAAGTCCTTGCGTAGTCTGACATCTGTGAATGCGGGAAACCTAGATCCTCTCGTATTAATTTCATTTTGTTGCCAATTTCATGGAGGGGGAAATTTCCGCCAAAATGAAAATGTAATAGGCAATGACTACATGTGTGCTTGTATATAGCTATGGGCAATAATTGTTTATCGTTGCTTAAATTATAAGGAGAGGACATGGAGAGAAAAAGCAATAACGTGTCGCATACATAAGGCATGGAATTGGTTTCCTTGTGTTTAATAAAACCAAGGAATCTAATTAAAATAAGTAACAATTGGTATTGTTGCCTATTCATTTTTACACACAAAACCTAAAAAGAAAAAAAAAAGAGATATTTTTAAGGCACTCAACTATATCTCAAAATTCTATAATCTCCTTTTTGATTTAGACCTTCTATGCTTATCCCAACTCCTCCTTCATCTCCTTTCTAACCCCATTTAACCCTCTTACTTTCTCTCAATCATAGAGAAAAACCAAAGGCCACCCCACCCACACAGGTTAGCTGGAAGATACGGTCTTGATTTCTCAGTTTTTTGTTTAATTTTTAATTTTTAATTTCTTTCTAATCCCAACTTCTCATCCTCTCTTGTAGCACGAAGAGACACAAAATACCCACTCATTCTCTGTTTTTCCAGCACCATGGCCATCACCTAGATTGGTAATCCCAACCACACCATTAAATCGTTGTCTCTCTCATTTTGGGTAAAAAAAGCTTTCTTTTCTCTTTTATTTTTTATTTTATTTTATAGTTTTCACTTGGTTTTTTTTTTTTTTTTTTTTTGTCTTTGTTTTCTTTATAGGTCATTCAAAATTTTTTGCTGGATAAGGTATTTAATTTGCAAATTTTTTCTTTGGGTAAAAAACCTTTCTTTTTCTTTAGTTTCACTCTGTTTTTCAGAGTTTCATTTCCTCTTTTTTTTGTCTCTTCTTCTTTGCAGGTTCTTCAAAGAATTTGTTGGATAATGTATATTTGTCACTGCACTAATATGTGGTTAACTTATTTACAAATATTGTGGGTATGCCCGTTGTTTATAAGGCTTTACTAAATAATTTGTCTGCATAACTTGTTCAGCTTTTGTTTTTGTTTTAATATAACTAATTGGTTGATTTTGATAAACTTTTATCATTAATATGATTGAGAAGCCTTGTTCTTTTTATACGTTTATGTCTTTCTGGAAGCATTGGTATGCTAAAACATATAATTTGTTGGGTTTCACTATAAATTCTTAATTTATTGAAGTTGGGCATTTGGTATTGTTTATTTGTTGTCTCTGGTTTAGGATTTTTCAAAAAACTTGATGTCATTGTTTGAATTTTATGTTTATCAAAATCTGGAAACCACATGCTATCTTATGTGGTTGGAAGTTTTAAAACTGATGTGGCTTTATTAATTTGTTGGTTGCATATAACTTGTTCATTTCATTTTGGTTAAAAAGAAATTTTTTGAGATATTATATCATGGTTATGTGTGTATATATATATTGTCTATTTAGAGAATGTCTTATTTTTTCTGAAATTGAAAGCATAATGTTAGAGTTGCTCACCACTGGCCATAAAAGAGAAGAACTCATTTGGTTTAAGGAGCCCAATATGGATAGACAGTGGATTCATAATCGCTATCGACGTACTGAGGAGTATTCAGATGGGGTTATGGAATGGTCGACCCCTCTCTCATTGGAATTGGCTATATTATAAAATGAAGTCGTTCGTCTACATGGGCTTCCTGTTTCTATTGTTTCGGACCGCGATGTCAAGTTCGTTAGTTATTTTTGGAAGACCTTGTGGAAGCTCTTTGGTACTTCTTTAAAGTTTTCGTCTGCATTTCACCCTTAAACAGATGGTCAAACATAAGTGGTTAATCGTAGTCTTGGAGATTTATTACGATGTTTAGTTGGTGATAAGCAGGGTAATTGGGACCTCATTCTTCCTGTAGCAGAATTTGCTTATAATAATTCTGCCAACCGAACTATAGGTAAAAGTCCTTTCGAAATTGTTTACGGTGTGCTGCCACGTTCACCCATTGATCTTGCTCCCCTTCCTATTGATGCCCGTCCTTAGGAATCTGCAACTACCTTTGCTAAGCACATTCGTCGCCTACATGAGGAGGTTCGTCAGAAAATTTCTCTAAGTATGGACACATACCAACTTGCTGCCAATACTCATCGTCGCGCTCAAGACTTCCAAGAAGGCGATTATGTTATGGTACGTGTTTGCCCTAAGCGATTTCCCAAACATTCTTTTAAGAAACTTCATGCTCGATCGATGGGTCCTTATCGTATCCTTCGCAAGTTGGGTGCCAATGCTTACTTGGTTGAACTTCCTCCTGATGTTCATATCAGTCCCATTTTCAACGTATTTGATTTCTTTCCATACCGAGGTACTTTTACTCCTCCTGTTGCGATTGAAATAACCCATGCTATTGTTCCTTCTGCTGCTCCTTGTGTGCCTGCTTCCCATGCTGCTCCTACGGATCAGATCTCCCAAGTCTTAGATCACGAAGTGGTGGCTTCAGCCCTTGGGGGGTTTCCTCGTTTTTTGGTTCGTTGGGTGAGACGTCCAAATACAGATGCCACTTGGATTACTGAAAATGAGTTTCGTCAACTTGATCCTTCTCTTCTCCGTCAAGTTCAAGATGATTTGGTAGCAGCTGAAGTTACTGATATTCGTCCTCCTATTATTCATACCTACAGTCGGCGCCGTCGTCATTAAACTCGCCGGAGTCAAGTTCTTTCCACTGGAGGAGAATGATTAGTTTCATATATTCTTTAGTTTTCCAAATCCTAGTAGGATTTCTAAGTTAGTTTTCCAAATCCTAGTAGGATTTCTAAGTTTCCTATTTTATTAGGAATAAGATTTCTGTTTTAGCTGGGGATTTTAATCCTATTGTCTATAGGTTTTAGTTTGCTATAAATACCCCTATGTAGTTCTTTACAATTCAGATTTGAATATTGATTAAACCTACCTTTAAACTTTTTGATTTCTGCCTGCCTTCTACCTTTTCTTCCCTTCAGCTTTTCTTATCTTTTCTGTCCTATTGCTCTGAGTGTTTAAACTAACACACCCAGGGCTGTGCTACATCACTAACACTAGCCTTGATTGAAAACTCAGTTATCAATTTTCTACTTTTCTTTCTTTCTATTTTTAATGTAGGCAACTTCCTATTTCTTTCTATTTTTAAAGTCATAAAATATTGCTCCTAAATCTCCAAATTGATCATAAATATCTAACCTTTTTTTTTTTGACAAAGCAATATTGTAAATTAACCTAATGTATAAGAAGGGAGATCAAACTTAGGTGTAAGAGAGCAGGCACACTGAAGTTCATAACCTTCTGTTTAATGAAATAATTATGTGGCTAGTATAAAGATCCACATCATGTATTTCGCGATGAAGAAAACCAAGTTCAAACAAGTTGATATATCGCCCATGCATTTAGGCAATAAATTTATTGGTGAATTCGTGGTTGGACAAAAGCAAGTGTGAATGAGTTGAAAAAAGACCATTTCATTATCAAACAGAGTGGGAAAGAAGCAACTAGAGTAGGGGCCATTAGACTATGATTGAAAACTCAGTTATACTTTTTTTTTCTTTTTCTTTTTTAATGTAGGAAACTTCCAATGGCTGTCTAGCGTGTTGAAAAAGGACCATCGGTGCTCGTAAAATCTCCTTCGTATTAGGCTAATAAAAATCTCCATCCCTCATGAAAATATTGCTCCTAATTTCCAAATGGGCCATAAATATCTAAACTAACCAATTGTAAGGAAGTGATGAATTTATAGCCACTCATGAATATCACTTTGTCATAAATATCTGAACTAACCAAATGTGAATTTACCTGCTGTTACTTATTTGTGTTCTCCATACGTACTTTGTAGGAGACTTGGCTCTTAGGTCCGTTTGAACTTCCATGAAATGAGAGTGAGGGAGAACCAATATGTGACCAACCTCATGAAAATTTATCGGTGAAATTAATCATAATATGTGGCTGGACAAAAGCAAGTGTGATGTGAGTGATTTTAAAAATAAACCATGTCAGGATCAAACGTAATCAGACAGAAGGACGCGGCATGAGCTGGAGCTGGGCCATTAGAATAGACTAGCCACTCCATTGATTCAAAACTCAATTATCAGCTTCTACTTTTCATTTTGACCAAAACAAAGTAAATAAGCATTCTACTTTTTCTATGTAAAGGCTGGGGAATTTGCATTGCGTTTTCCTTATCTACCAGTGTCTTTGTTTCGGAGTCTTTTCCGTTAACTCAAAATTCTCAAACCGATAATTAGTTTCATCCATCTTCCACACTCATCCATCTTCATATATATATTATGTCCTGGTTCTGGCTCTCTTGATCTCTTTTGTTCTAAAAGTGTGTAACTGTGTATTGCCTTTAAATTTTCCTTCTTGTTCACTGCAACACCTTCGGTATTTGGTAATTCGTGAAGAAATCTGCTGCTGATACTTAAACTGCAGGTACTTTTGATTTATTCTGTTTGGTGCCTTTTGTTTTTTGTTTCTTTTAGTTTCTTGTATTTTATTTATTTTGCGCAATGTAATTATTATTATTTTTTTATCAAAGAAAGAGCGAATGTATTTATCTGCTCAGACTTCCTGTTTTCTTCATCTATTTCGTAAGATACAACAATAGAAACTTTGAAGAATTTTTTATTCTTTTTTTCAAAACTGTGATTTATGATTTTCATTAAATAAAAAAAGGCTCGCTGTCATCGACGGTGGCAAGGCAATATGAAGGCCCCAAGCCACTGCCAATGTTATTATTTGGATCTGCTTAGTTACGTATTGTTATGTAATATTTTTTTATACAAGCGATATTCAAGAGCTGCTCTTAGAATAGACTAGACACACGATTGATTCAAAACTCAATTATCAGCTTCTACTTTTCTATGTAATGTGCTGGTGGCAGCAGTTAAAGGAGCAAATCAGAATTATAAATATATATAAATTTATTTGAGTGATCTCTCAATAGAAGGGAACTGATATATATATTATTTCTTTCTTCTTTTTTTCACATTATTGTCTCATTTGGTATTGTTTCTTATAAGAATTATTTTTACTCATTTTGTTCATATATAAGAAATTTGGTTATAAGCATAATTTTTTTGTCAAAAGCAGTAAAAGCGTTTTTAGCTTGTAGTCATTTAAGCTCTAATCGGCCTTTAGTCGGTAATTCCAAGCTAATAAAAATCATTGATCGTCATGAAAATCTTGTTCTTAATCTTCAAATTAATCAAAATGATATAATAAAACAACGTTAATCTCAACGTTAATGATATAATAAATCTAATTATGCTTGTGAGCAACAAATGAAAGCAGAAAAGAAGTGGAGCTGGCAGTCTTTCCTAGTTTTTTTTTTTTTTTTTTATTCCAGTTTTGTTCGGGGCTTTGTTCCTTCCTTTTTTTTTTTTTTTTTTTTTTTTTTTTTTTTTTTTTTTTTTTTGGTTTTGTTTTGTTCTATTTCGATCAAAGTGACTTTTCCGCTTGATACAATACAAGCAGAAAAGAAAAATGAAAAATAGAACAGAACAAACAAAAACAAAAACGACCCAACCAAAAGTAGAGCGGAACAAAACTATAGGAAGACTCAAGCTCTGTTGTTATGCTTCTTCAGTCCAGATTTGTTGCTCACAAGCAGAATCAGATTTGAACTTCCATGTAAGTGCTTCTTGCAAGCATAATAATTATTTCAATCTTTTATATTTATGTTTTTATATGCCATACATACATTCATCAATGAGACTTACACATCCTAAGTAAAACTAATTTTTCACTTAATTTCTGCAGTTGTGCATCTTAATTTGTTCAGTCCGGATTTGAGGATCTCAAGCCAAATTAGATCTCAAATTTTCCATGTAAGTGCTTATTCTGAACTAGTATTTTTTTTTAAACGTAATTTATGCATTTTGATATTGTTGAAGAAAACTTCCTTACTTCTTTGGCTGCTTGTGTGTGTCTCTTCAGTCTTAATTATCAACGAGTATGGCAGTGGGAGAGATTTTTCTTGGGGCGTTCCTTCAGTTGCTGCTCGACAGGTTAACACCTCGCGAGATCCTCAACTACTTTGGTCTCCTAAAGGGCGTGGACAAAAAGCTGAAGAAATGGAGTGACAATTTGTCTGCAATCGTAGCGGTGCTGAATGATGCGGAGGAGAAGCAACTGACAGATCCTGGTGTGAAATTGTGGCTGGATGACCTCAGAGACTTGGCTTATGATGTAGAAGACGTGCTGGACAAATTTGCCACTAAAATATTGAAGCGCCAGATAGAGGGACGTGATCAAGCCAACACAAGTAAAAAGGTGCGGAGTTCATTCTCTAAACTGAAACTCAATTTCGATATGAACTCTGAAATCAAGAAGATTACAGAGCGGTTGCAAGAGATCTCTGAACGGAAAGATAAGTTTGGTTTAAAGGGCACCGGGACGTCTAGTAAAGCATGGTCAAGGCCACCAACTTCAGGTGTGCTAGGTGGACTAACCATTGTTGGAAGAGATGGAGATAAAGCAAAAATATTAGACATGTTGTCGAGAGATGAGCATAGTAATGTCAACTTTCATGTTGTTGCCATTGTTGGCATGGCTGGCCTTGGGAAGACTACACTTGCTCAATTTGCATTCAACAACAACAGTGATATCATGAAGGAGTTCGAGCCGAGGGTGTGGGTGTCTGTGTCCGATGACTTCGACGTTGTAAGAGTGACGAAGGCAATTCTTGAATCAGTCACATCTCAACCCGTTAAAGTAGAGGAGTTCAGTAAAATGCAGCATGATTTGAATGAGCAGTTAAGAGGTAAAAAGTTTTTAATTGTTTTAGATGATATTTGGGACAAAAGTGACCGTGATTTATATGATCTGTGGACAAGACTTCAATCCCCTTTCAGTGTTGGAGCACAAGGAAGTAAGATAATTGTGACGACACGTGACCTAAATGTTGCAAAGATTATGGGAGCCACTGAAGTTCATAACTTGGAGTATATGTCAGATGATAATTGTTTGGAAATATTTGAGCAGCATGCATTTGTGAACATTAACAATGATAGACCACCAAATTTCGAGTTGCTTCAGAAAAAAATTGCTGAAAAATGCAGTGGATTGCCCTTAGCTGCAAGAACTCTTGGTGGGCTTTTACGTCAGAAAGAAATGAACGAATGGGAAGAAATATTGAACAACAAATTGTGGAATTTATTTGGTAAGAGTGACATTCCTTCGGTATTAAAGTTGAGCTATCACTATCTTCCTTCCAACTTGAAGAGGTGTTTTGCCTATTGCTCAATATTTCCAAATGACTATGAATTTGGGGAGAAGCAATTGATCCTTTTATGGATGGCAGAGGGTTTGATTCAACAACCACCAGAAGCCAATAGACAAATGGAGGATTTAGGCCACGACTATTTTCAAGAGCTATTATGTAGGTCATTATTTCAAAAGGCAAGTGAAAACAATTCACGATATGTAATGCATGACCTTGTTACTGATTTGGCACATTGGGCAGCAGGAAATACTTGTTTTAGATTGGAGGACAAGAAAGTTGATGACTTGCAATCTGTATGCTTTCGTCATTCGTCTTTCATAATTGGTGACTATGATGGAGTTCAAAAGTTTGAGGCCTATCGCGAAGTTAAACGTTTGCGAACATTCCTGCCACTTTCACTATCAAATACTTACTGGTGGATTGGATTTCTGGCTTGTAAGGTAATTTATGATTTATTACCTCAGATGCAATACTTACGGGTACTTTCTTTGAATGGCTATGGAATAACTGAGCTGCCAGATTCAATTGGTAATTTGAAGTATCTGCGGTATCTTGATCTTTCTCACACAAGGATAACAAGTTTGCCTGAATCAACAACCACTCTTTTCAACTTACAGACACTGATATTGGAAGGTTGTCATTATTTGGGGGCACTACCCATCAACCTGAGGAATCTAGTGAATCTGCGTCATCTCAACAATTCATATGTAGGTTCATATGTAGGTTTAAAAGCAATGCCTCCGCAACTCGGTCGATTGACGAATCTACAATCTTTGCCTAACTTTGTGGTGGGTAAAGGTAGTGATGAATCAGGGATAAGTGAGATAGGATCCCTATCCCATCTCCGAGGGACATTATCGCTCTCAAGGTTGGAGAATGTGATCGATGCTAAGGATGCACGGAAGGCCGACTTAAAATCCAAGGAGAGCGTAGATGAATTGGTGCTAGAATGGTCGGATAACACACAAGAAACGCAATTAGGCGTGCTTGACAGATTAGAACCTCATAGAATGCTTGAAAAACTCATCATCAGGGGTTATGCTGGATTAGAATTTTCAACATGGATTGGAGATCGTTTATTCTCCACTATGGTGCATGTACGCTTAGACGAATGTAAAAATTGTCAAATCTTGCCACCACTTGGGCAACTGCCTTTGCTCAAAGAACTTTATATTACAGGAATGGTTGCAATGGAAAGTGTCGGTCCTGAGTTTTATGGGGAGGGTAGCTTGCCTTTCCCAGTACTAGAGACTCTTGAGTTTGAGGATATGCAACACTGGAAGAAATGGGTTCCTTTTGTAGGGGATCAGGGAATTGGTGTTTTCTCTTGCTTGAAATTGCTTTCAATCAGAAATTGTCCTCAATTGGAGGGTAAGGTGCCCGAGAACCTTGATTCATTAGAAACACTTAGAATTATTAAATGCGAGGAATTGGTGATTTCAATTTCCAACTATAAACAAATTGGTCAATTACGGATAGATGGCTGCAAAGCAGTGGTGAAGACAAGTGGCGTTGAGTTTGAGTTATTAAATTCCTTGAGACTTTCAAATATTTCAGAGGTGAGGTTCCAAATAGGGGAATTCACCAAAGGATTAAGGAAGGTTGCTGATTTGGAGATTGGAGGATGTGAGGAGCTGACATCTTCACTGAAGAATGAGGATAGAGTATTGCAACACTTGATTTCTCTTGATGGTTTGGTTATTGAAGGCAACTCTTCCCTCCTTGAAAAGCTGGGAAAAGAAGCAGAGGAGTTGCTGCAATTGCAAATATTGACTTGCAAGCTTAGATATCTAGAATTAAACGAGTGTGCAAGTCTTTCGAAGGTACCAGAAGGGTTGCATCACCTAACGGCTCTTCAAGGCCTTCAAATTGTTGGATGCTCAAATCTGGTTTCTTTTCCAGATGTGGGTCTACCTCCTTCCCTTGAAGTCATAAGGATTGAGGAGTGTGATTCGTTGCTGTATTTTGCAAAATACCAGATTCCCCCAAATCTAAGAATAATAGAGATACGGCGGTGTAAAACTTTGAAATCATTAGTAGAGAAAGAGGAGGATAGTTCTTCGTCTTCCTCTTCTTCTCCTATTTCTCTTGAGCACTTGGAAATACAGAGATGTGATTCTCTAACGTCGTTATCATTGAGAGCCCAGTTGTTTCCCAGGGCGCTTAAAAGACTTCTCATATTCAATTGTGGAGAGCTGCAGTTAATAACGTCCGATGGGTTAGCCCACGACAACACTAATTATTGTCTTGAACGTATTAGCATTGAGTCTTGCCGAAATCTGAAATCCTTACCGGAGGGCCTATGCCACCTCACCAATCTTCAGACTTTAGAGATTAATAATTGTGGGAGTTTGGTTTCCATCTCGAGCCTGAGTGGTGAGGGTTTGCCTTCGCCAACAACAACAGCCGCCTCCAGCCTGAGAGAAATCTGCATCAAAAATTGCAACAAATTGGAGATGTTACCGGACATGCGCAATCTCAACTGTCGTCAGGAATTGAATATTGATTACGGTGAAGGTTTAAATTTCACTTCCTTTCCCCCCCAACCTAACATCACTTACAATCCGCGGAATCAAGAATTGTAAGCCGATGTGGGAGTTGTTGCACAGGCTCGCCTCTCTTACAAGCTTGTCCATCAGTGGTGAAGACCCAAGTGTGGTGTCATTTCCACCCGACAGTTACAGGGAGATGGAGATGGAAATGCTGCTCCCCAAATCTCTCACTGATCTCTCAATTTGGGGCTTCCCAAATTTGAAGAAACTGAGCAGCAAGGGCTTTCAATCCCTCACCTCTCTTCAATCTCTTCGACTCTACTATTGTCCAAAGCTGGCATATATTCCAGTGGAGGGGTTGCCTATTTCACTTAGGGCACTTTTTATCTTTTGGTGCCCTCTGCTAAAAGATAAATGCCAGCCTGGAAGTAAAGGACGATACCTGCCCAAAATATCCCACATCCCCCGCATAGATATAATGGATTAGAAGACGGTTTGAAGATGATGAGAACCCACACCGACACATGGACACGGTCAACTCCGACTCTCACTCTCCCCAGGTACATCAAATTTCAAACATTATCAACACTTTCCCTGTACTCTTCTGGCATATTATTTCAAAAACACGAGTAATTTATTTATGGTATTTTCACTAAGGCATGACCATGACACATCGAAATATGATTTTGGTATTTCAGAACTTAAGTTTCTCGTCCATAAGAATAAACACAAGGCATTTAAGCCAGATTTATAGTTTTTTTTTTTTTTTTTTTTTTTTTTTTTTTTTGAAAGTTGATATTTCATAAAACAAGAACCTCACCCAACACGGGTAGAGCCTAGAATTACAACATCAGCAATCCAGTGAGGAAGCACAACAGAATAACTAATCTGTGATATCACATGAACAAGAACACCAAGATTGTCCCAGATGTTGATACCAACAGATAAACAGAAGTTACAACATACAACAACAATTTGAAATAAAACAGCAAAAAGCCCAATTGAACAACAAACAAAAGATAAGCTTATCAGCCAAAGATCCACCACCATAACCAAAACCCTCAAATCCGTCAAAAGCCGAGAGTACCGGAACCATGAAAAGGAAGGAGGTGGTGCAAGCACCCGAGCCGTAGCACTGCCGTGGCTCTACACAACTTCCGAGATTTACGCGAGAGATCGCGTTTCGGATTAGCCGCAATATCCAATAGACACAACCAAGTCGAGATGGAAGAGTGAGGGACCCCTGCTCCATCAGATTCGAAATCGACGCACCTAGAAGATAAAAACAGCCAATCGGGGGATAGCCAAAGGACATCTCTGAGGGGAAAGGTATAGTGAAGATTTGGGGATGCAAACAGGGAAGGGGGCATGATGCCACAGAAACGAGCAGGTGAAGCTCGAAACACGTCACCAGCCCTCGAAAGAGAGAGCTACGGACTGAGCAAGATGGGGGTTCCAAATGCTCCAAGACAGAATCGTCGAAAGGCTAGCAAGTTCCAGTAGAGTGGGAGGGGGGAGGAGGACTCCTCCTCCCCCTCGCAGAGATGGAGCGGTGACAGGACCCGTCCCGAATTTCCCGGAACCCGAGACAAATCCTGCGGAGACCCCGGCATCACACCCACGCCGGGTTTACTCCTTAAATCTACGTCCTCGTTCACCATAGGGATTAAGGGCACGAGACTTTCTGCCGAAAATTCGGCAGAGTCTCCCCTGTAAATTGAATATTCCCAAAAAGTTCCACCTGCATAAAACTCATTTTATAACCCAACCAGCAGCACGCACAATATAATCTCATGCAATTTACATAAATGGCCTCCGGCCTTCAAATGATTCTAGCAGACTGCCCACACTGTTTTCAAAATAACTTCATGCATCAACCATGCATATAACAAATTCCAAATCTCTCTATGCACACCTTCACTCACTCAGTCCACCGGACAAGCCCCAATTCAACCAAGTTTCGGGACCAACCACGAGGTCCGCATCATACACGATAAAACCACCTAAGTGGTGTCTAAGTCGTGGCTGCACCTAGGCGCTATCCCAGGCTGCCTACGTACCCTACTAAGGGATCAAGCCACACGTAGCTCTTTCCTATCAATCCCGGCTCCTAATATCAAATCAACCATTCCATCCATATAAATTCATACATTCTACGGTTTCATCCATCTCAACACACCAAACACAATCACATAGCTCCCCTCATACGACGGGACGCACCCGGCCTCGTATGGGGTCTGTCTACACGCCGGCTAATCCAAAGACGCGTGCGACCTCACACTGGGCCTGGCTACATTCTCACCAGCCATCATACCATCATATCTCCCACTCATACGTCGGGACGCACCCGGCCACGTACGGGGTCTGTCAACACGCCGGCTAATCCAAAGACGCGTGCGACCTCACACTGGGCCTGGCTACATTCTCACCAGCCATCATACCATCACATCTCCCACTCATACGTCGGGACGCACCCGGCCACGTACGGGGTCTGTCAACACGCCGGCTAATCCAAAGACGCGTGCGACCTCACACTATCACTTGGGCCTGGCTACATTCTCACCAGCCATCATACCATCACATCTCCCACTCATACGTCGGGACGCACCCGGCCACGTACGGGGTCTGTCAACACGCCGGCTAATCCAAAGACGCGTGCGACCTCACACTGGGCCTGGCTACATTCTCACCAGCCATCATACCATCACATCTCCCACTCATACGTCGGGACGCACCCGGCCACGTACGGGGTCTGTCAACACGCCGGCTAATCCAAAGACGCGTGCGACCTCACACTGGGCCTGGCTACATTCTCACCAGCCATCATACCATCATATCTCCCACTCATACGTCGGGACGCACCCGGCCACGTACGGGGTCCGTCAACACGCCGGCTAACCCAAAGACGCGTGCGACCTCACACTGGGCTTGGCTACATTCTCACCAGCCCTCACACAATCATATCTCCCACTCATACGTCGGGACGCACCCGGCCACGTACGGGGTCTGTCAACACGCCGGCTAACCCAAAGACGCGTGCGACCTCACACTGGGCCTGGCTACATTCTCACCAGCCCTCACACAATCATATCTCCCACTCATACGTCGGGACGCACCCGGCCACGTACGGGGTCTGTCAACACGCCGGCTAATCCAAAGACGCGTGCGACCTCACACTGGGCCTGGCTACATTCTCACCAACCATCATACCATCATATCTCCCACTCATACGTCGGGACGCACCCGGCCACGTACGGGGTCTGTCAACACGCCGGCTAACCCAAAGACGCGTGCGACCTCACACTGGGCCTGGCTACATTCTCACCAGCCCTCACACAATCATATCTCCCACTCATACGTCGGGACGCACCCGGCCACGTACGGGGTCTGTCAACACGCCGGCTAACCCAAAGACGCGTGCGACCTCACACTGGGCCTGGCTACATTCTCACCAGCCCTCACAAAATCATATCTCCCACTCATACGTCGGGACGCACCCGGCCACGTACGGGGTCTGTCAACACGCCGGCTAACCCAAAGACGCGTGCGACCTCACACTGGGCCTGGCTACATTCTCACCAGCCCTCACACAATCATATCTCCCACTCATACGTCGGGACGTACCCGGCCACGTACGGGGTCTGTCAACACGCCGGCTAATCCAAAGACGCGTGCGACCTCACACTGGGCCTGGCTACATTCTCACCAGCCATCATACCATCACATCTCCCACTCATACGTCGGGACGTACCCGGCCACGTACGGGGTCTGTCAACACGCCGGCTAACCCAAAGACGCGTGCGACCTCACACTGGGCCTGGCTACATTCTCACCAGCCCTCACACAATCATATATATCATGTAATTTGTAATCATACAACAACATCAACCAATAAAACATTCCATAAACTCCCACATTTAAATTCACCAATTTATATCCTAACCCACAATATCCATTTAACTCAACAACGCTCAAGACCTGTCACTATGGTCATCCTAACCCTCAAGGAAAGGTAAGACTATCTCGGAAGTCTCACGGTCAACCTAGGGTCAAACGAGCCTGCGGGGCCCACAACCTCCAAATTCCGATCCGAAAGTTCCTATAGGTTCTACAGGCTCTAGGACACATGTCCTGCAAGTTTGGTCCAGATCGGACGGTCGGATCGCTCACGATCACGCGATCGGACGGTTACTAAAACCCTAACCCCAGGGTTGGCATTTCTGGAGTATCCGGGACTCCGTTTTACGATCCGTCGGGTCCTATACAATCCTGGAAATACCTAGATCAACATATTATAATCTCAGGACCATCCAACGGTCCAAACCTAGCGAACCCGGAAAATACGCGATATGCGATATCCGTTCGGAATTCTAACGGTATCCAAATTGAAATCCGAGCACACCTACGCGCTCGTGACATCGAGAGGATCACATTGGGACAAAAATGCCCCTCAGCTACAGTGCCCACGCGCCGGCAGCGCGTGGGTGTCCAAAGCGATATCGCATCGCCAGAAAAACCACAAATCACGGCTCAAGACTCCTACCCTAGGTAAAACACCTAATTTGGAGTCACTTTTGTTCTTGGACGTACCCCAAAATCTGACCGGAAGTGGCCGGAATCTCCCCTCGAAATCCGGCCGAACCCTAACTCGAAAATCAGATAATCTAGGCTCAAAATTAACGAAATCCTACCCATCCATCAGCTAGATCATGAGGAAAGGATAGATTTCCATACCTTGATCGCCAAAAATGGCGGCCGGACGACGGAGAACGAAGCCGGCGAATTTTCTGTCAAAACCGGAGCTTTTCTCTTCGTTTTCCGGCGAAACCACGGCGGCTGGCGGCGGGACCTGGCCGGGGTAGGAAGAGGACGGCGGCCCGGTCATTTTGGTACCGGCCCCGTCGACTTTGGTGGCCGGACGAGCGAACGGCCGGCCAAAACGTGGTCGGCCACGGTGGCTGTCGCGAACCAGAGGAGAGAGAGAGCGACGCGCGGGAGAGAGAGAGAGAGTGTGTGAGAGACGGGGGCAATTCCGTCTTTTAACCAAAAAACCATTTTCCAAATATTTACGATTATGCCACTGAGCTTCTTTTGATCATATCTCTCTCGTTACAACTCCGATTCGAGCCCACTACGTGTCTACGAACTCATCTCACCGTGCTCTACGCAACGGTACAACCGGAATTCCCAAATTCCTTTCGGGTAAGAAAATGACTAAAATACCCCTATCCCACGGGTAATTTCTCAATTCCACTTAAATAAATTAAAACATGGGATAAATTTGGGGTCGGGGTGTTACAAGCGGCGCTAGATCTAAGGTTTGGTTATTTGGGAGAGCGGCGGGCCTATGCCAGATTAGAAATCTGAAATCCTTACCGGAGGGCCTATGCCACCTCACCAATATTCAAACTTTAAATATTTATGAATCTAGGGCTTTCAATTCCTCACTTCTCTTCAATCTCTTCGACTCCGGAATTGTCCAAAGCTGGCATCTATTCGAGTGGAGGGCCTGGCTCTTTCACTTTCACAATTTTATATCTCTGGGTGTCCAAAGATATTTTGGGTCACATCTTCAGGTCTTATCTTTGGACGATACTGGCCCACCCCTAATAGGCACTTGCAAACATGCGATCAAAATTTGAATGGAGAACATTTGAAATATATATAGTATAAGAAAGTACTTCATTTCTCACTTGGTTTGCCTTGTAATATTTTGTCATCTCTCTGCTCAGAAAACTTTTAGCCATATTTTTCTTTCTTTTGTTCGCTTGACTTCAATGTCTTTCCAAATTCTTTGTGATGTAGGACGAGATTTGAGTCAATTATGGTGGGAAGAATGAGGATTTTGATGTGAATCACTGAATCACAATAAGAATTATAAACAATTACTTTTATTATAATTGATTTGTAATTGTAGGAATACCGGTTTGATCGGGATTGTATTTATTTTCTTTTTACTTATTGTAATTACTTCCTAGATAGGCTTGTATTTGTATCACTATAAATACTTATGAGAAGAATACAAATATACTGAATTATTCATAACCCTAAATTCTATTTGAGTGATATATCGTTGAGATTTTTGGGTTGCTTGATTAAGTTTGAAGCACAGAGAATTCTTTGCCATATTTATATTAATTTATTGTTTAATTTATATTTTTAAAATAAGTAGGATATTATTTTCTTGATATGATTTTAACTATAATTTTTATTATTTTATTGTTGGCTAAGTTTTAAGAATATTCTAGACCTAAGGCTTCCTACATATCATTTCCTTTCTATTCGAACCCACTCACAATCAAGGTTGAAATGAGTAAGTTCCATAACCCTCCATTTGGATGAAGGAAATATCAATTTCTACTCTTTAATTTCCGACTTTGAGATAAATCTCAAGTTATTTTCCTCTATCCAAACATAAGGTAAGAGAATTTATAGCCATTGATGTATTTATCTTAGTTCTACTTCTACTACAACCGTTCTACTTTAAACCATAAAATAGGCGATGTTTTATGCAAGGTCCTTATTTTGCTGGACATCTTGCATCCATATTTGTAATAATGGTGGTAGGTGATGCTTCACATAAATAACTGTTGTTGGAGACTATATATGATGAAAAGCTTCTCCATACCCAGAAAGACTATATATCAAGAATCACACGAGTGTTCAGTTTGCATTAGATTACCCAGAAAGACTATATATCAAGAATCACACGGTTGTTTCAATCTATATAGAATAAGGAATTCTATCAGCTCTTGTGTTTCAATTTGACTAGCTTTGTACAAGAAATAATCCGATAAGCTTGAGCTTTTACTTCTTGATCAGGCAAGCTTCTAAAGTCCACGTATGATTTGAAGACCACACTTTGTGGATTGAGACAATGAATTGTCTTACATTTAAGAGTTATGGGCAAACATATGTTGAGCTCTATTTTCAGATGATTTGGCAAGATATATTTGGTCGATTCTTTCCAGGAATTTTGAGGTGCCAAAACGATGCGTAACGAATTGGAGTTACAATACTGTTTAGACATCCCTCACCAACTTGTTTTTGTTTTTCCTATAAAAACAAACTCTGTTTTGCTTTTGTTTTGAATTTTCAATCATGCCAATTCTATAAGCATCAAAGCAATCCATGATTTCATGATATTTTTGTGTATTTCCTCAGCTGTAGCCAGGAGAGTTCGTGGCAGTACTTCTGAAAAGTAGTGTTTCCTAGAGCTTTTATCAATAGTACTTTTGGGAGAATTATGTGTTTCAGTTTTATGCATTGCAACTAATTTTTAATTAAAATTTGAAATTGAATAAAAAGAAAGAGAGAAGCTAAAGATTGAAGAAGCCACTTAAGAGAAATTGGTAGAATTTCGAAAGAGGAGAGCTACTTATTCTAAGCTCACAAAGTTCAATTTATGGAGTTATGGGTGGCTAGAAAAGAAAAAAGAAAAAAGAAAAATATTGATGGTTTAGACGTGTGCTTTATTTCTACATGGAGATGTGGGCTTAATTCTACACAGAGTGGTGGGCTATTATTTAATTTACCTACGTTGGGTTTGTACCACTAAGCCTATTCTCCAAAGTTAGCACAGGGCTGAAGCCCTTATGTAAATCTGCCCTTGGCTACAATACTCCTCCATCAAGATTAATTTGTGATCTCAATCTAATAATTGTGACTGACTTACTAAGTACGGTTTAGAGCAAGCACTTAGAGAATCTCCAACAGCCTCTTCAAAGGCTTTGGGACACTAAAATAGATGAGCCACATTAGCAAAATCTTCTCCAATAGCTTTGTCAAACCCACTCGCCAAATCTGGGACTCCTCCTTCACTCCAGTGCATTTATTAAGCTTTGGAACAACATGAGCTGTCTTGGAATGGTGAAAGCCTACATGGGACTGAGTGAAAAATAATGAATTATTATTTAAATATTGATTTGGTATTATTAAACCGAATTAAACAATAATGTTTGATTAAAAGCAAAAACAAAAGTCAAACATTGAATTAATTTAATTGAAGAGGTTGATGGGGTACAAAACAGTAAATTAGCAAACTTTACTCTTCAAATTGCTACACACATCAACAAAACACAATTTAAAGGGTTTAGTTTGAAGAGACTATTGGAGATGTTCAGTATTGATGTATAGAAGAAAGACAAAAAAAGTTACCACATTTTTATTGGAAAAGAAATACGAAGAAGTACCCCAACTATAATTTTCTAAAACGAAATTAGCTAAAATCGATTGAACAATCCGTGCCAGAAGCTCGTTTTGACTGAATCTATTTGACAAACCGTCCATGCAAAATACTATACGTCATATGAATATTATCCATATCCCTTCTATATTCACTATGATAGCGAAAGACGCACTACAACTTACAAGGCACATACCACTCCTTGCATGCCGACATTCAAGTATCCATCATTGCACCACAGCCTCATCTCCAGTTATCATCTCACCTCTTGTCTTCTGTCAATTTTATTCTTCCAAGAAAAAGTACAAGGGAAAAAGAAAGGAAAAAAATGGCTTTTTCTCATCATTTTCAGGTAACAATTTTGTATGATTAATTTGGGATATTAAATAAATAAAATAGCAGGTTTACTCACAAGTAATGAAAATTATAAGAAAATGAATTATTTTCATTCATGACTTTCCATGCATTTACTTATACATGCGAGTTTTACTTAAAAATCCTTAATTACATATTCAAAACAATGGAAATTGGATCCCTCCGAGTTGATTGATTCTTATTCCTTATTTATCCTATTCGGTTTCTTCTTATTCTGATTATTTATAAGTAAACATATCATGGGTCTTTCTAAAAACATTAAATGGGAGCCACCACCTCCAACTTTAAAGTTAGTTTTGATGGTGTATGGGACTTTTTCTTCCGGCAGCTGTAAATGGGCTGGGCTGCCGTAAAGGGTAGACTGATGGAATTATCCCCTTTGTCTGAGTTCGAAAATTAAGCCCGAAAACACTTCGAAAGGGCAGTAGAGCCTTAGGAAGTATTTTGGTTACCTTCACCAACCAAAATAATGGCAGCTTACAGGTAATTTCTTCATGCTTACAGATAAACTCTTATGCTCAGCGTGAGTGGCATGTGGCATGGGAGAAAAAATCAACATGAGTTTAGCACTAAGTGAAAATTTAGGCTTGCTCTGAAGGAAAAGGAAGTGTTAGGGTAAGAAATGAGAAGTTTTGTGAGAGATTTGGCTAGGAAAGGGAAAATGAAGAGCAGAGTTCTTCTGGCAGTTGCCAGAAGAACAAAATGGAGAAGAAGATGAACAATGCATGAGGTTGCTGGGTTTTTGCAAGTTAGAGAGAAGGCTTGCTCTCTAAATCTGAGTTGCCCTTGTTAGGTAGGATAAGCCTCAATTTATAGCCGCTGGAAACCACCATTTTTCAAGAAACCCTAATGGCTTCTACCCATTTTGGCTAAGCTTTTCCCTCATTTCTTATTTCCTCCTTCGGTTTTTCCATTTTGATGAAATCTCTCCTATCAGATCAGAGTTTTTTGAAGCTCAAGGCCCCCCTTTTCCCACAGCCACCTCAATGGCATACTTTCCACTTCCAACCATTTTGTTCATTGCTTTCTTCTCTTTTTTCAATGGCAAGTTTGATGGGGAAAGGAGTTGGGATATACATGTTGGTTTAAATGGTGCTTCTGGCAGCTCGCAGGCTAATATTCCTTGGTTCCTTGAATGTTTCTTGCTTGGAACTTGCTCCCCTCATGTGCTGGAACCTCCAGCAGCTTTGTTCAATGAACCCTCTGACCCTCTCTTTATGACTTCTATTTTTCCTAGCAAGGGCTGAGGTTTTTTATGGCTTATTGTGGAGTTTTGCTTGGGCTATTTTGTTAAACATTGGGCTTCTGAGTTAATAGGATATTTGGGGCTATTTGGGTTATTTGGGCTATTTGAGCTATTTCTTTTCCCTCTTGTGCCCACCTACATGTTTGGGCCCAAGAAATGGGCTTGAGTCCCGAGGCTCCCAAGCAACCCGAGACTTTCCATTTCTCGGTCCATTAATGGGCCTCATGTTGATTCATTACCATCCATGCCACAACCAACTCAAGCAAGCCCCGGGCATTATAGTGGCTTGGGCCCACGTAGGCTTGTAGCGTGGTTGGGTGTGTAAAAATGATTTCCTGCTTGGCATGGCATGTCGCTTGTCATGGCATATCACTTGGCATGCTTTTAATTATTATGCTTGACGGGATAATTGGCATGGATTTGCAAAGATAATGCATTTTATACTCTTAATCTCGATTCTTAGCATGACGGATTATTTATTTGGCATGGTGCGTGGAGTGTGACTCGTGCATGGCGGACTTTTGTGTGCTCCAAGTCGGGTTTTTTCTCAATAAGGTATTGCGTTGGACCGAGAATTCATTTGGGCCAAGCCGTGGATTTTTTGGGCCTCAACAGATGGCCAACGTGGTCTAACTTAGTGGAAAAGGGCCTTGGCTTGCAGACCACTGGTCACATGTTCAAATCCCCATAACATTTTGGTAGGGCAGACTCTGAGATTTTAGGGGTCCTGTACAAAATTAGTAATATGACCTCCTAGAACAAAGTCTTGAACAAAAATATATAAAAAGAATTGGGGCATATAGATTGATAACAAATTCAAAATTACTCATCAATATCTATATTTTTTTATTATAAATATTATAAAGGATTATCAAACAAATAATTCAAGAAGGAACATAAAATCATGGATCAACTTAAAAGAAGCAAGGATATAATTTCTTTTTGGATATGGATATACCATATATTGAGTTTTTTTTTTAATGCGAATATCATATATTAAAATTAGAATAAATATATGACACATAATAATACAATAATATATATTGTAAAACAAGAAGAAGAAGCAAAATGGGGACATGTGCAAGGGCCCACCTTGCACACCCCAAAGCCGCCCCTACATCTCGATAGTGTGTATGTGTGTGAGAATCGCATTTCGTAGTTTAGAATACCGTTGATATTAAAAATAAAAAAGTTTTGATGGTTCAGTAATCTTCAACTACTTTTGTTATTCGCAATAATGATGGAACAATAAAGGTAGTATGAACAATATTCCAATTGGTTTCTCTTCAGATTTGAATGCTGGGGATGGTTCTGAAACATGCCAAAAGATTTGAATTTTCTTCTCTTATTACTGAAGGCGATTCTCAGGTCCTACTTGGATGGAGTGTTACAAGACTGGCAATTTTCCCCATGGAGAATATTTTTTATTTTCTCAAACATTATGAGGCTTATATATAGCTCGAGTTTGGTCCGATTGGTCATGTCTATCGAGAGGAAAATCTTATTGTAGATGAAGTTGCTAAGAAAGGGTATAATAGAGATAATATTTGCATTTGATATTGTAATTGTCTTAAATTTATGGCCTTAAAATCGTTGTACCTTAGAAAGAATTTATGAATTCGATGGGGATCCTTGTATCATAAAAAAATATGATAATTAAGATTCTTAATGATACAATATAATAAATGTTAATTCTTTGGCAATGCCATACTTGATGTCTAAGTTAAAATCCTACTCTCACCTGTCAAAATTTCACATTGTAACTTGTGACAAATATGACAAATCAAATGAAACTAGACGTTGTAAAGGACCTACTAGTGTAGTGGTTTGGAGCAATTGCGCCTCCAGTCAAGGTACTGGATTCGAGTCTTAGCATCAAGTACTTCAAATTTCAAACATTATCAACACTTTCCCTGTACTCTTTATGGTGGGACTCCTTTTCTGGCACATTATTGTGAGTAGTTTACTGATTTGCTGTTTCTGGTTCTTTCTTTATGCTATTGTACACTCTTGACTTCTTCAATCACTACAATCTTCATTTTCACTAAGGCATGACCATGACACATTGAAATATGATTTTCAATTGCTATTTTGGTATTTCAGAACTTAGTTTCTCATCCATAAGAATAAATACAGGAAGTGCTTTCCGATTCTATTTTGGTATCTTTTGAATCATGCTGAAAAATATAAGTGAGGTTGTCGTGTTCTGTTTAAAGAATGTGCTTCTGAATTGGCAGGAACGCTTTCAATATTCAGATGCTATATAAAGCTTACGGAAGCCGATGTTGTGTTGTGCCAGAACAGTCTTCAAACTCCCATCCCTTCAAGCTTCTCAAGAAACCACTGCAGGGGAATAGTAAACTAGTATGTGGCTCATGCTCTTTTTCTCTCCAGATGTTTTGCTTGCTCCTTGATTCGAGTGTGACGCCTACAATGGTATTGTCCTCTTTGCAGAAAGAGTTGAAACCATCCATTGCTACTTTCAGCAGCAATGGGAGTTAAATAGGCCCAAACTCAAATTTTCAAGAGCAGAATCCTCTTCCTTTGCAGCAGTAGATGACAATGGTGCAAAAAGGACTCAAAGGAAGATATTTATGACAGAGTTTCGTCAGTTCTTTGGACAACCATTTGCTTTAAATATTCTGCCGATCAAAGCAAGAAGGATTGTTTTACTGGGTCATGTCAATTCACTAGGCATTTGTAAACAGTGAGAAGGAACAACAATGAGAGTTTTTTTTTTATACAAATTTTACAAATGATAATCTACTCTAAATTAATATAATCTACGAAGAGGGGAATTTGAACTCACTGACCTGGCCTAACCCGCCTCTCCAGCAAACAATGAGATATTACATATTCATATACAGAATTCTTATTCCATCCTCAATCAAATAAGATATGCACCCTTGGTTAGGCACTGAATTGTTGATGACCAATTTGGTTGTGCGCTGACATCTTCATTGTTTGTTGTTTTCTTTGTTTCTTTTGACTTATTAGGAATTACTTATATTCTTTGGTGTTTGCATGTCATCCCAATTGTGTTATGTCTTAGACTCTTAGCCGATTCTGAATTTTTTTCTCTATAGGATTATATGTTGAGCTGAGTTGACATGTTTATGCATGTCCTTACCATTTTTATGAGTGACATTCACCAGTAAACAGTTCATCAATAAGATATTCTATATATGATGGATGAATACAGCCATTTGGATTACAAATGGGGATAATATGACATTCTAAGAGTTCAATTATCTGTCTAGACTATTATAATCTATATATGCCAATATTTAAACAAAAATGAAATAAAGAAAACAAATGGGTTAATTGGCAAAGACCATGCTTGGACTGATTGTCCACCCCACCACGATGGAAGCATATATAGGTGATATATCTTGGTTGCTAGTTTATTTTCTAAATGCCATCTCTTGCATTTTTATCGGAAGGTTACCGCACTGTAATTCCATAAACAAAATCAATATCCACACAAAAATAAAATTACTACAACAATCATGTAATCTACCCTACGCTCTACACTACTACATTTTAGGCTTTGCGCGACGAAGGGGTCTTCGTCGCGCAAAAATGATTTTAGTCGCACATAATTATGCGCGACAGAAGTTTCGTCGCGCACAGTCCGTCGCGCAAAGTTCGTGAAGAAAGGATTTGCGCGACGAACAAATATCATTTGTCGCGCTGTTTTGCGCGACGTATAACAACTTCGTTAAAAAAAACATTTCGGGACGACCCTAATGTCCGTCGCACAAATATTTGCGCGACGAAAGACTGGTCGTCGCAAAAACAATGCGCGACGGACTCTTCCGTCGCGCGAGATACATGACCTTTGCGCGACGAAATAATATTCGTCGCGCACGTAGTCCTTGCACGACAAAATAGTCGTCGCGCATACAAATTTCGCGCGACGAAACAATTCGTCGCGCCTACACATTTTGCACAATGAAATTCTTCGTCGCGCATAATTAAAATATATTTGTCAACGTGTTTATTTAAATGTTTTTGCGCGACGAATTACGTTTCGTCGCGCAAAAGCAATATATATTATTTTAAAAAAATTATTATTATTTGATTTTTAATTTTGTAAAAAAATAAATTTGGTTTTTTTTTATAATTAAAATGAAATTACAATAAAAAGATTAATCGCAAAGAAAACATTTATTATATAAAATAAAAGAAATGTATACAAATTGTAAAAGTAATTATAAAAATAAAAAACTAATCAAATAATGTTCCAAAATCTACTTGGTCATCTGCCACATGCGGCTCGGAGGTATGGGCGTCTGCAGGGGCCGTGGTGTGCTGGGGATGCTCGGGGTGGACGGGCTCGGAGGTCGACGCACCAAAATTCGGGATTGGAATGCCGGACCGCGCGAGGGACTGCAGAATCACCGACATCTGACCCTCAAGCTCGGCAACCCGCGATGTCAAAACAGTCACCTGACTGTTTGCCTGCGACGATGACCGCGGTCGAGGTTCCCTCTGTCGGGCATTCCCCATCCCCCTACAATACGTTCCCGGCCTCCTCCCGAGAGTCTGATCCAACGTCTGCGTCAAAATCTGAAATCCAGCATCATGCGGAGGATCCACAGACTCGATCGGAGTCTTGAGAGGAAGTTGGGAGGCGGACTCTTGAAGAACCAACTGGCTCCTCTCCACCATCGTCGTCTGTTTAACATTACATAAAATATAAATTCAAAAATGCATATAAATTGAAAGCGTAACATAAGAATTAAAAATAAATAATACTTACATGAAGGGACTCGGCCAACTCATTCCCAGGTCGAACATAAACGTCACCAAAGACGTCGATCTCTGGGAATTTCGACCCCCCCTTAATTGAACAAGAGAAGGAAAATATTAGTATGAACAAAATAAATTAATAATAATGACGTATTAAAAATTAAATATAAATTATATTATTCTTACCCGACGCCGTGCATCCATCCTATATGAGAAGGGCCTGGAGCCGGAATGGTGGAGAAGAGTCTTCTTCTTCCTATTGCCCTTATTCACTTGGGCTTTATTCTGTTATACAAAAAATAAAACGTAATAGTTGAAATATAAATAAATTAAATAATAATGAGATATAAAAATAAAATAAACATTAATAAGAAATATGTAATAATTAAACAAATATTATTAAAAAAATACCACATAATCGGGCGCCTAAAAATGAGCGCAGAGCCACGCCCAACTATCCTCCCGCCCCTCAAGCTCCTTCGGGCAACCCTCCTGAAGAGCGACTTGCGGATCATCAAACGCCTGAAAATGGTGGTGCAAGTCGCTCTTCCACTGCTTGTACCTCTCACCGAAGAGTTTGTTGACGTACGCCAAGGTCTCCTCGTTGATGTCCTCTAAGTGGTAGTTCGTCTGCAATAAATTCATTACATACATTAAGTAATAGAAATATATAAAGTTTGAAAGAAAAATAATTAAAAGATAGGAAAACATACCAACAACTGGCCGCGAACTTGCATCTTGATCTCGTCAGGCATGACCTTCCAAGACTTCCATTGCATCGGGCAATGGGTCCGAACGACGTGGCCAATGTCGTGGGCCAAGGAGCTATGCAAGTCTGCCGTCGGTGCAGCCCGATGGCGCTCGTCATATCCGATGCTGATACGATTGTTGGTCACCCGGGTGACCTTCGCCGTCTTCAGCTGCCGACACGGCCCTCGGGTGTTCCTCTTGGCTGCAAAGGGATATGACAATACTGTTACATAAATAACAAATTGAACCATAAAATTCCCAATTAAAAAAATGTTAAAAAAACGAAAGTGGAAGGGTATTACCTAGAGGTGCCCCCGAGGCACCAGTACAGTCAGTCGATGTGGTGTCGGTGGTGGTAGCGGGCCGGTGTCGCCGCCTAGCGCTAAGAGGCTGCACCACCGAAGAAGATGATGATGCAGCCGCCTGGGATCCCCCAGGACCAGCTAGCACGTGGTCCTGCTCCATCAGTGCTGGAGCAATGGTAGCTGATACCGGCTGAGCCGGGGGGCTCCGAACTCGGTGTAGTCGTCACCGCCCTACGACGTCTAATCAAGTCTTACATCTGCACAATTTCATTAATCAAATGTAGCACATACAATGTAGTTTGACGTAGGGTTTGCGATTTCGGAGTATCCGGGTCTCCGATCCACGATCCGTCGAATCCTAAACGATCCTATAAATACATGGTACCACATACGTGAGTTTCAGCTCGATCCAACGGTCTGAACATATCAAACCCGAAAATCACACAATAGGTTCGAACCGTTCGAGACTCAAATGATAACCAAATTCCAATCCGAGCACACCTACGCGCTCGTGACAACGAAATGTTTGCACTGGGACCCAAAGCCCTATGCCACAGTACCCCATGCGCCACCACACGCGCCGGCAGCGCGTGGGTGCCCAAAGCGATAACAATCACCGGGAAATCCTAAAAATTAAGGGCCAAGGTTCCTACCCTAGGTTCAAAACATCAATTGGAGGCACTTTTGTTCTCGGACCTACCCCGAAAAAGGCCGGAAGTGGCCGGAATTTCAATTTCAAAACCGGCCGAAACCTAGGGTTTCAAATTCACTACCCTATGCACACAATCAATCAAATCCTACCCAACCATCAGCTAAAGCATCAAAAATAGTCCAGAAAGCATACCTCAATTGCCGGATTTGGTGCCCGGAGGAGAGAGAACAACGGCGGCGAAGATTCGGCCTAAACGGAGGAAATCACGGCGGCAGGATGGACGGCGACGGCGGAGAAGCTCCAGGGTTCGACGGTTGTGGCGCCAGGGTCTGAATTGGGGCGGAGTAGGGGCTGAGGTCACGGCGGAGAGAGAGGGAGGTTTTAGGGTTCCGTTTGAGAAACTGGGGAAGAAGGAGAAGATCGCGATTTTCAGAAAACTTATTCGACTTTGCGCGACGAATAACCAAATCCGTCGCGCAAAATTCATTAAAATAACTTTTGCGCGACGCAAAACTGACTTTCTGTCGCGCAAGGTTTTGAAAATATGACCTTTGCGCAACCTAAAAACATACTTTCGTCGCGCAAAGTTCTGAAAATATCACCTTTGCGCGACGAAACAACTAGTGTCGTCGCGCAAGTTTGTCCAGCCGCCCAAATTTTGGGATTTGATTTAATGAAGATAATATTGAAAAATATTGCGCGACGAAGAGACCTAAGTTCGTCGCGCAATCTAGCTTTTGCCCAAAAAAATTTCGCTAAGTGTTGGAGAGAAGGGCTGCAATTTTTTTTCATCATTTTGCGCGACGAAGGCACTTGCTTTCGTCGCGCAATCTAGCTTTTGCCAAAAAAAATTTCGCTAAGTGTTGGAGCGGAGAAGGGCTGCAATTTTTTTCATCGTTTTGCGCGACGAAGGCACTTGAGTTCGTCGCGCAATCTAGCTTTTGCCAAAAAAATTTCGCTAAGTGTTGGAGCGGAGAAGGGCTGCAATTTTTTTTCATCGTTTTGCTGACGAATTCAATGTCCATTCGTCGCTAATCTTTTGCGCGACGAATTCAAGGTGATTTCGTCGCGCAAAACCCATACCCTTGTACCCTAAACCCTAAAACCTATACCCTAAGCCCTAAACCCGAACTCCTGAACTAGTTTCAATGATCCAACCGGCAATCTTCTTTTTTATAGTTCAAGATCGTATACGTCAAAAATCATAATGAATGAACATTCAGAGATTGAGTAACGGGACAAAACTTTTCGACGGTTCTAAACAAATTGTCCCGGTTCAACGGTGATTTTAACTCCGATCTTGAAAATTTTTTACAGCTGCGGTTCTTGACCCTATATGAATACAGAGATGTAATTCGATCTTCAATTTCAGATATTTACAGTACAGGACATCACATAATCTTATGTTATACTGAATGAATGTATAAATAAATTCTTCATTTTTTATGAATATTGTGTTTTGATGGAATACGCATTCTAGGAAACTAGTTTCAGTAATCCAGCCGTCAAATATGTTTGTTTATACTTCGAGATCGTATACGTCGAAAATGAGAAAAAAAAACATTCAGAGATCAAGTAACGGGACAAAACGTTTCGACGGTTATAAACGAAAAGTCATGATTTAACGGTTATTTTGACTCTGATTTTGATGATTTTTTACAGCTACACTGTTTAACCCTATGTGAATACAATGAACTACTTCGATCGTCAATTTCAAATATATACGTGTGTATATATCAGAAATATATATATGTATATGTTTGCGCGACGAGGTCTTTTTTTCGTCGCGCAAAAGTACTTGCGCGACGAATTATTTGTCGCGCAAATAATAGAGTATGCGCGACGTGTACGTTTTCCGTCGCGCAAATTGCGCGACAATTATGCCTTCGTCGCGCAAGGTTATTTTCATTCACATATTATTAAGCTGAATTATTCATCATTACATATAATTAATTGTATGAAAGTATGATTTATTCTATTTTCTTTTGATTTGAGAATTGAAGGATTGTTGATAATCTTATTTTCTTTGTATTCATTTTTTTCGGTTATATGGTTTTCATTTTTTAAAAGTTTTTGTCAAAATAAATTTAAACTTTATTATAAAATTACTTGGATATATTTATTTACCAATGGTTTATAACTACATTTATTTTAATAATGTTTCATTTCTGCACATATATAATGTTTGGATATAACAAGTACATATATGAAAACATTTGCATTACACAAAATATGTCCACTAACATAATAAAATTACAAAAAAATTCATCATTCATCATCTGAACTATAATAACTTTCGTTATCGTCGCTATCATCACTTTCGGTCTCCCAATCCTCTTCCTCTCCTCCTCCGCCTCCTCTATAACTACATCATCGTCGTTGCTCGGGCCAACTGCAACATCGTATCGCGGAAGATCACCCGAGGTCAATTGTAATTGACTGAATCGGTATTTCGATTGAAGACACTCCTTGTATTTGAAATGGCTCTTGTATAACATTAGTATCTCGAAGTGTTTCCGCATCATTTTCCATTGAAGATTCTAAACGTTGGTCAGCCACATTGTCGACGTCGTTGTCAGTTGGGTCTAGTTCTGGTATAGCATACACGTTCCTGTGATCCATCTTTTGAACAACGTTCCAACCGCTTCCGGCTTTAGGGTCATCTAGATACACAATTTGTGTTGCCATGTTTGCCAAAATATAAGGGTCGTCATCATACCAAGTTCTGTTCATGTTCACAGATAGTAAGCCATGATCGATTTTAACACTTCCCGGCCTATTTGGGTTGGTGTCAAACCATCGACACTTAAACATGATCACTTGGTATCGATCTTTGTAAAGCAATTGCACGACAGTTGTGAGTTTGCCATAGAAATCAATGTCCGTACTTTCGCCTCCACCTGGGACATGGACACCGCTGTTTTGCGTACACAACTTGTCATCTCGTGCTTCGCCCAAAAATTTGACGCCGTTGACATTACAACCCGAGAACAATTCAGCGCGAATCGGGCCGAACGCCAAGTTATATAACTCATCACTGTAAGTTGGGGAATTCGATGATTTCAACTTATTCACCTAATATTATACAAAACCATTCATATGTTAGTCTGACAAAATTAAAAACTACAATTTATATTTCTCAAATAACAAACACTGATAACTTACAGAATCCAAAAACCATTGTGGAAACAATTCACGGTGTTTCTGGGCAACCAAATGTGATGGATGTTCTCGCTTCATCATCTCTTCATGCTCATATAAGTATCCCATGATCTCATCACAATTGTTCAGTACGAACCAATGCGCTACCTCCATGTCATTTCTAGAAAACGACTCTCCGCGTCCAGGATCTCCAAAGGGTCGTGCGCTTTGGGCAAAAACAGAAAGTTTTTCATTTCTCATACCTCCGTCATGATTGCGCTGAGGACGATTGAAAACCGTCTCCACATCTTTTAAATACATTCCGCAGAAAGTAAGCGACTCATATTGAACCCAAGCCTCTACGATTGATCCTTCGGGCTTCGCCCTGTTGCGTACACTTTTTTTCAGCTCTCCGAGAAGCCTGCCAAAATAAAACGATATGATACAAATTAGCAAGCATGTGATAATGATGCATACACAAACGATAAGGATTATATACCTTTCTATTGGATACATCCAGCGATAGTTGACAGGACCAGCAAGCAATGCCTCTTCTGGCAAGTGAACCATCACGTGCATCATACTTGTGAAGAAAGCTGGAGGAAATATCATCTCAAACTTGCATAGGACTTGGACAATGTCATGGCGCAACTGAAACATGTCCGTTTTTCGCAAAGTTTTTGCCGTCAGTTGGGAAAAAAATCTGGACAACAAAATGATTGGCTTCACTACATCTTCCGGCAATAGGTGTCGAATACCAACAGGAAGTAGGCGTTGCATAAACACATGGCAGTCATGGCTCTTAAGTCCAGTAAATTTACCCCCGTCAACATTCACACAACGTGCGATATTAGAAGCATACCCATCGGGAAACTTTACTGACGATACAAACTTTAGAAACTCTTTCTTGTCATTCGGTTTCATAGAAAAGAATGCAAGATCCCTTCTAGCTTTATCATTGTCCCTATTCATCCATAAACCCCTTCGTATGCCCATTCTTTCCAAATCAAGACGAGCTTTGATCGTGTCCTTTGTCTTCCCCTCGATATCTAGAATCGTGCCCACCAATGTGTCGAATACATTTTTCTCAACATGCATCACATCTAGATTGTGCCTCAATTTTAGTTTCGACCAATATGGGAGCTCAAAAAACATAGGCTTGTGCGTCCAGTTCATATGTGTAGAAGGTCTGATACGACTAACTGTTTTCCCCGAAGGGAGCAAAATCCAACCGGTTAAGCTGGTCCAATATCTCATCACCGGACCATTCTCTGGGTCTAAGGCGACGCTCTGTGTTCCCGTCGAACTCTTTATCTTTTTTCCCTCCACTCATGGTCCCATGGCAACCATCTCCGATGACCAAGGTAACAAACTTTTCCAGCGTGCCAACCAGAAGTTACATCTTCCTTGCATACAGGACATGCCATATAACCTTTTGTGCTCCACCCAGAAACCATTGCATATGCTGGGAAATCATTCACAGTCCACATAACTGCTGCCCGCAAAGTGAACATCTTCCCAGTTGATTTATCGTACGTGCGAAACACCGTTTGTCCATAAATCCTTCAGCTCATCAACCAGCGGCCTTAAGTAAACATCGATTGACCTCCCAGGATCCTCAGTTATCAAAACAGTCATCATCATGTATTCTTTTTTCATGCATTTCCAAGGCGGCAAATTATATGGGAATACGAAAATCGGCCAAGTGCTGTGGTGTTGGTTTAGAACCCCATACGGATTGAATCCGTCAGTGGCAAGTCCCAATCTAACATTTCGGGGATCAGCAGCAAACTCGGGAACGTTCGATCGAACTCTTTCCATGCCTCCCCATCTGCAGGATGCCGCATCACATCATCGTCTACCCTTTTTCCTTATGCCATCTCATGTCTGTGGGCAGTATGCGTCGACATATACAATCGCTGCAACCTAGGTTTTCAGGGGCAAATAACGCATGACTTTTTGTGGGATCTTAGTCGTCCTATTCTGAGATGTCATCTTGAACCTCGACTCATTGCATATAGGACATGTATCCAACGATTCATGCTCTTTGTAGAATAACATGCAATTGTTTTTGCAAGCATGGATTTTTTCATAACCCAATCCCAAGACCATTCAACACCTTCTGCGCCTGTTTATGGTCTTTCGGCAAACAATTGTCCGTCGGAAGCATTCTCTTGAAAACCCCCCAAAAAGTAATCGAAACACAGGTTCGACATACGATACTTTTATTTTTCCCGTGCATTAGCTCCACAATGGCCGTGAGAACGGAAAAGCTCTCGCACCCCGGGTATAACTCTTGGTTGGCATTTTTTAACAATTTTTCATATTGTTCAAACTCCCGCACTGTCTATTGGTGTAGGCACATCATCTTGCTCTTCTTGATTCATGTTGGTCGATGCAAATGGAAAAACATCCTGTATAATATCCATGACTTGATCATTAGCATCCACAATAGGTTGAACATTGTCCCACTCTTGTGGCATTTGAAGACGAAGCATGCTCTAATTGTTCCCCGTGAAGGTTCCAAATGCTATATGTCTCAATCATTCCATTCCTTACTAAATGAAATCCAACATTTTCAATTGTCTCCCATAACGTGTTGTTGCACCTCCTACAAGGACAACGGATTCTAGTTGCACCCGGGTTGTGTCTACGTGCAAACTCAATAAAATCCCTCGATTCCATCCAAGTATTCGTCTGCGCATCTGTTCGGGTTCTGTATCCACCTTCTGTCCATAATTCCTGAAACCAGAATCACAACACAACAATCACAACAACTTCATACGAAGTTATAATGTCACCTTATCCCTCCGGTAAGGGTCCTATCCCATTCGGGAATGCATACTCCTGCCCACGTAACCTACGACTACATGAGATTAGATTTCGACGTGGATGAATTTCGCCAGCATCTCGCTACAGTTCTTGAGGTGGCCATAGGTATAAATACCTACGTACCACCCGAAGAACGTACCGAGATGACAACGAAATATCCACAATCGAAACCTAATCCTGTAGCCATAGATTACGTGACAACACTATGCATTACCAAACTGTCCAAATAATGGGACAATTCAAGAATTAATTGGACCGCAGTCATGCATTACGCATCCATGCACGAAATCCAACTAATCTCGAACGGGAAACTAAGTGTTACTAAACATAAAAATAAAAGCACAAAGTTAATTTCAATTAACTTCGTACATCCCAACAGATTGTGCTACGTTACACACAATTTAACAAACATAATAAAATATAACTTCACAAGAAAATTTTAAAACATAACAAATTAACATTATTAATATATAAAACGAATAAAATACCCTTCTCAATCGTTCTCCACCAATCGCTAATTACAAATATCCCTAACGAAAACAAAATTAAAAACCTTAGTACGACCTTAAAATTAATACTTTTAAACTAATGACGAAAAATATTTACCCAATCAATGTATGAAATCCCAGCAGCGGCAGAGAGGGTTGAGAGAGAGGAAAAAAAAAAAAAAAAAAAAAAAAAAAAAAAAAAAAAAAAAAAAAAAAAAAAAAAAAAAAAAAAAAAAAAAAAAAAAAAAAAAAAAAAAAAAAAAAAAAAAAAAAAAAAAAAAAAAAAAAAAAAAAAAAAAAAAAAAAAAAAAAAAAAAAAAAAAAAAAAAAAAAAAAAAAAAAAAAAAAAAAAAAAAAAAAAAAAAAAAAAAAAAAAAAAAAAAAAAAAAAAAAAAAAAAAAAAAAAAAAAAAAAAAAAAAAAAAAAAAAAAAAAAAAAAAAAAAAAAAAAAAAAAAAAAAAAAAAAAAAAAAAAAAAAAAAAAAAAAAAAAAAAAAAAAAAAAAAAAAAAAAAAAAAAAAAAAAAAAAAAAAAAAAAAAAAAAAAAAAAAAAAAAACTCGTATTTTGATTCCGACCCACCTATTCCACAATATAAAGAATCATGAGAATCGAAGAGGAAAACACAACCAACTAATATGATGTGATTCAAGGAGAACTCAGATCTTACATCAAGGACCCCAAGAATGTGTTGCCTGTTCGAACCAGTGTTTTCAAAGGCATGCCTAAGCGCGCGTCGGAGCGAGGCAGAAGGAAATCGCCTGAAGCGTTCATCTATTTAGCAGGTTGCACGTTTAGCACCGCGAGGCGTGGAGACGAGTGGCGAGGCGTGGCAACGTGTGGCGAGGCGGATGAAGGACGGCTGTTCTGCAAGCGGCCGCGAGAGGAAGAAGATGACCTCGCGTGTTTTTTTTTAGGGTTCGTTGGGAACGAAATGACTTCGTTTCATAAAGTTAATGAAACGCACGTTTAGCACTGACGTTCAGCATGCCTTTTTTATTATTTTTAAATCATGATTTTTTGTTTTTAACAAACAATATGCTTAACGCCTCCACTGAAGTCTGAAACACCCACTACTTACCCTTTTTCACTGAAACACAACTGCTTACCCTTTTTTCCTTTTTCTTTTTTCCTAAATTAATATATTAACATGGATATATATATATATATTCATTTATTTATAGTATAACCCTAATATATGAACTGAATTGTGTTTTTGTTTTGATGTTTTTAGATTTAGGGATTGATTATTATGCATGAATGAGACCATTAGTACTTATCTTTGATTATACTTAATACATTATTAGGGTTCAATAATAATTAGTAGTACAATTTAATTGTGTATTGTATTATTTATCAAATTTTTATTAAACTAAATTAATGTTCGAAAGGCTTACGCCTCGCATAGTGTGAATAAAAATTGGTTTCGAACAACAAAGCAAATTGCACTCAGTATAATCTTGTGTTGTTGTAGCAAGGGTTCTAGAATTCGTTGTTCAATTGCTCCAGCAAAAACTTGGTACCTTTAAAACAAAAGGTATACCATTATGCATGTTTCCAATAGTAACAAAAATAAATTATTATCATTCTGACTAGCCTCAACTATTTATGAGCAATGATTAAATAGTAGTGTCATTGCCAAATAAAATAATCAGGATATCTCTTAGTCCTTCTCTTAAAGATGGGATGCTTGTTTCTCTTTATCCCATGTGCTCTTAGGCCCCGTTTGGTTCATGGAATGAATTTGAAGGGAAGACATTTTTCATGTCATTCCCCAAGGAATGGGAATGAAAGATTATTTTCCCACGTTTGGTAATGCTGGGAAAATAATTAGGAAATATCACTTTATTTTCTCTCCCATGTTTGCTTTGAGTAGGAATGGAAAATAAAATTTTTAATATAATAAATTTTTTTAACAATTATACTCATATTAAATCAAATAAAAAAGAATACATTTAATGATATATTGTAATTCTAAGTTGTTAATGGGGATAAAATGGTCATAAAAAATATGTATTTAATGGCAGCTCATTTTCCCAAACTTTCCCATGAAGAGGGAAAACAAAACCCCAAGTTGGGAGGATGACTTCACTTTCCCCATACTTTCCCATGAGCCAGGCAACGATTTCCCATACCTAAACTTACCAAATATGGGAAAGCAATTGATTTCGCATTCCTAAGTATTCTTTCCTATGAATCAAACGGGGCATGAGATAAAAAGCTTCTCAATAACTAGAAAAGCCCAGTTCCATCCAGAAATTCCACAAATGGTTTTTTTGATAGATACTATTCTCCATGGATATGATAGTTACTCTTTAAAATACCAAGTTTCTTCAGTCAGTCTTGAAATGTTTGTTAATGGTCTATGAAGGTTAGAGTAAATAATAAACAGATTACTTAAATCTGCAGAAAACCTGTGTACCTTAGGTTGCTAGAAACTGCCATATAAACTCCATAGGCTACACTAGTTGATAATATAGGAACTTCCTCTGCTTCACTGGCGAAAGATTTACCGATAGCTATTCATGACACCTGTATAGCCATTACATGAGTGGGAAGCAGATTTCATATGTGCATTCTGCAATGAAAAACTTATAATACGAGACGAAAACAATCTAGTAATGCAGCAGTTGAAAATGAAATCTTCTTTCAATGGCAATAAAGCACACTGGAGCCTCAGAATTCATTTATAAGACTAGTTGGAGAAGCTTGTGCCTTGTATATTATTCGGAGAAAAAAATTTACATCTCTATTATTGTTGAATGTTGATACAAAATTCAAATCAATGGAGCTCCACCAATAGTGTAGTTTCTTTTTGCCAAAATGTAGTCCTTGATTAGGTTGAATTTTAGACAAGCCAAGCTCAAACAACCGAAGGTATACATATTTTTTATTTTTTTATTTTTACCTCCATCCTCAGTTGTGTTAAAGTTGGTGAAAATAGTATGGGATGGCTTTTCGTGGCTTCTTTCGGTGGTTTTTGCTTTTGCTTTCGGTGGTAGACAAAGGCATGAAAAGATGAATTGATGATGGCTGGCACCAACTCGATTTAGTGGAGATGCTTTCGTGTCATCATTGTTGTTTCTTTGCCTAGAGATTCTATGAATTGATGATGGCTGGCACCAACCAAAAGTCACTTTGATCGAAATAGAATAGAACAAACAAAAACAAAACGACCCCACCAAAAGTAGAGTGGAACAAAACTATAGGAAGACTCAAGCTCTGTTGTTCTGCTTTTTCGGTCCAGATTTGTTGCTCACAAGCAGAATCAGATTTGAACTTCCATGTAAGTGCTTCTTGCAAGCATAATAATTATTTCAATCTTTTATATTTTTGTTTTTATATGCCATACATACATTCATCAATGAGACTTACACATCCTAAGTAAAACTATTTTTCACTTAATTTCTGCAGTTGTGCATCTTAATTTGTTCAGTCTGGATTTGTGGATCTCAAGCAAAATCAGATCTCAAAATTTCCATGTAAGTGCTTATTCTGAACTGAAATATCTAGTAATTATTTCATTTTGTTTTATATTTGACTTCCTGCGTTATTCTTGTTCCCCCAGCTAAAACTAGTTTTTTTTTCTTCACGTAATTTGTGCATGTTACTTCCTTACTTCTTTGGCTGCTTGTGTGTGTCTCTTCGGTCTTAATTATCCAACAAGTATGGCAGTGGGAGAGATTTTTCTTGGGGCGTTCCTTCAGTTGATCCTCAACTACTTCAGTCTCGTAAAGGGCGTCGACAAAAAGCTGAATAATGGATTGACAATTTGTCTGCAATCCTAGCGGTGCTGAATGATGCGGAGGAGAAGCAACTGATAGAGCATGGTGTGAAATTGTGGCTGGATGAACTCAGAGACTTGGCTTATGATGTAGATGACGTGCTGGACAAATTTGCTACTAAAACATTGAAGCGCCAGATAGAGGGACGGGATCAAGCCAGCACAAGTAAAAAGGTGCGGAGTTCATTCTCCAAACTGAAACTCAATTTCGATATGAACTCTGAGATAAAGAAGATTACAGAGCGGTTGCAAGAAATCTCTGAACGGAAAGATAAGTTTGGTTTAAAGGGCACCGGGACGTCTAGTAAAGCATGGTCAAAGCCACCAACTTCAGGTGTGCTAGGTGGACTAACCATTGTTGGAAGAGATGGAGATAAAGCAAAAATATTAGAAATGTTGTCGAGAGATGAGCATAGTAATGTCAACTTTCATGTTGTTGCCATTGTTGGCATGGCTGGCCTTGGGAAGACAACACTTGCTCAATTTGCATTCAACAACAACAGTGATGTCACGAAGGAGTTCGAGACGAAGGCGTGGGTGTCTGTGTCCGATGACTTCGACGTTGTAAGATTGACGAAGGCAATTCTTGAATCAGTCACATCTAAACCCGTTAAAGTAGAGCAGTTAAGAGGTAAAAAGTGACCGTGATTTATATGATCTGTGGACAAGACTTCAATCCCCTTTTAGTGTTGGAGCACAAGGAAGTAAGATAATTGTGACAACACGTGACCAAACTGTTGCAAAGATTATGGGAGCCACCGAAGTTCATAACTTGAAGTCTATGTCAGATGATAATTGTTTGGAAATATTTGAGCAGCATGCATTTGTGAACATTAACAATGATGGACCACCAAATTTTGAGTTGCTTCAGAAAAAAATTGCTGAAAAATGCAGTGGACTGCCCTTAGCTGCAAGAACTCTTGGTGGGCTTTTACGTCAGAAAGAAATGAACGAATGGGAAGAAATATTGAACAACAAATTGTGGAATTTATCAGGTAAGAGTGACATTCTTCCGGTATTAAAGTTGAGCTATCACTATCTTCCTTCCAACTTGAAGAGGTGTTTTGCCTATTGCTCAATATTTCCAAATGACTATGAATTTGGGGAGAAGCAATTGATCCTTTTATGGATGGCAGAGGGTTTGATTCAACAACCACCAGAAGCCAATAGGCAAATGGAGGATTTAGGCCACGACTATTTTCAAGAGCTATTATGTAGGTCATTATTTCAAAAGGCAAGTGAAAACAATTCACGATATGTAATGCATGACCTTGTCACTGATTTGGCACAATGGGCAGCAGGAAATACTTGTTTTAGATTGGAGGACAAGAAAGGGGATAACTTGCAATCTGTATGCTTTCGTCATTCGTCTTTCATGATTGGTGAGTTCGATGGAGTTCAAAAGTTTGAGGCCTTTCGCGAAGTTAAACGTTTGCGAACATTCTTGCCACTTTGGCTATCAGATACTTGGTGGAGCAGTCGATATCTGGCTCGTAAGGTAATTTTTGATTTATTACCTCATATGCTTTCTTTGAAGGGCTATGAAATAACTCATGAGCTGCGGTATCTTGATCTTTCTCACACAGGGATAAAAAGTTTGCCTGAATCAACAACCACTCTTTACAACTTACAGACACTAATACTGGTACGTTGTTATTTGTTGGAGACGCTACCCATAAACTTGAGGAATCTAGTGAATCTGCGTCATCTCAACAATTCAAATGTACGTTCACTAAAAGCAATGCCTCCCCAACTAGGTCGATTGACGAATCTACAATCTTTGACTAATTTTGTGGTGGGTAAAGGTAGTGATGAATCAGGGATAAGAGAGATAGGATCCCTATCCCATCTCCGAGGGACATTATCGCTCTCAAGGTTGGAGAATGTGATCGATGCTGAGGATGCAAGGGAAGGCCGACATAAAATCCAAGGAGAGAGTAGATGAATTGGTGCTAGAATGGTCGAGTGCCACACAAGAAACGCAATTAGGCGTGCTTGACAGATTAGAACCTCATAGAATGCTTGAAAAACTCATCATCAGGGGTTATGCTGGATTAGAATTTTCAACATGGATTGGAGATCGTTCATTCTCCACTATGGTGCATGTACGCTTAGACAAATGTAAAAATTGTCAAATCTTGCCACCACTTGGCCAACTGCCTTTGCTCAAAGAACTTTATATTACTGAAATGGCTGCAGTGGAAAGTGTTGGTCCTGAGTTTTATGGGGAGGGTAGCTTGCCTTTTCCAGTACTAGAGACTCTTGAGTTTTCATATATGCACAGTGGAAGAAATGGCTTCCTTTCGCACAAGATCAGGTTTTCCCTTGCTTGAAATTGCTTTCAATCAGAAATTGTCCTCAATTGGAGGGTAACGTGCCCGAGAACCTTGATTCATTAGCAACACTGAGAATTATTGAATGCAAGGAATTGGTGATTTCAATTTCCAACTATAAAAAAATTGGTGGATTAGACATCGACGGTTGCAAAGAGGTGGTGAAGACAAGTGGGGTTGAGTTTCAGTTATTAGAGTCCTTGTAACTTTCAAATATTTCAGAGGTGAAGTCCCAAACAGGGGAATTCACCGAAGGATTAAGAAAGGTTGCAAATTTGACGATTGGCGGATGTGAGGAGCTGACATCTTCACTGAAGAATGAGGCAACTCTTCCCTCCTTGAAAAGCTGGGAAAAGAAGCAGAGGAGTTGCTGCAATTGCAAATATTGACTTGCAAGCTTAAATATCTACAATTATACAAATGTGAAAGTCTTTCGAAGGTACCAGAAGGGTTGCATCACCTAATGGCTCTTCAAGACCTTCTAATAGTTGGATGCTCAAGTCTGGTTTCTTTTCCAGATGTTGGCCTTCCTCCTTCCCTTGAAGTCATAAGGATTGAGAAGTGCGATTCGTTGCTGTATTTCGCAAAATACCAGATTCCCCCAAATCTAAGAAGAATAGAGATAGGAGTGTGTAAAAGTTTGAAATCATTAGTAGAGAGAGAGAAGGATAGTTCTTCGTCTTCCTCTTCTTCTCATATTTCTCTTGAGCACTTGGAAATATCGGGATGTGAATCACTAACGTCGTTATCATTGAGAGCCCAGTTATTTCCCAGGGCGCTTAAACGCCTTGACATTCCTATTGTGGAGAGCTGCAGTTAATAACGTCCGATGGGTTAGCCCACGACGACACTAATTATTGTCTTGAATATATTAGCATTGAGTCTTGCCGAAATCTGAAATCCTTACCGGAGGGCCTATGCCACCTCACCAATCTTCAAACTTTAGAGATTTATGGTTGTGGGAGTCTGGTTTCCATCCCGAGCCTGAGTGGTGAGGGTTTGCCTTCGCCAACAACAACAGCCGCCTCCAGCCTGAGACAAATCAACATCCATAATTGCAACCAATTGGAGATGTTACCGGACATGCGGAATCTCAACCATCTTCAGGAATTGAATATTGATTACGGTGAAGGTTTAAATTTTACCTCTTTTCCCCCCAACCTAACATCACTTGGAATCTTCGGAATCAAGAATTGTAAGCCGATGTGGGAGTTGTTGCACAGGCTCACCTCTCTTACAGAGTTGTGGGTTGATTGCGAAGACCCATATGTGGTGTGGTTTCCACCCGACAGTTACAGGGAGATGGATATGGCGATGCTGCTCCCCAAATCTCTCACTGATCTCTTAATTTCGGGCTTCCCAAATCTGAAGAAACTGAGCAGCAAGGGCTTTCAATCCCTCACCTCTCTTCAATCTCTTCGACTCCAGAATTGTCAAAAGCTGGCATCTATTCCAGTGGAGGGGTTGCCTATTTCACTGAGGCGACTTGATATCATTCGATGTCCCCTGCTAAAAGATAAATGCCAGCCTGGTAGTAAAGGACGATACCTGCCCAAAATATCCCACATCCCCTGCATAGATATAACGGATTAGAAGATGGTTTGAAGATGATTAGAACCCACACCCACACATGGACATGGTGAACTCCGACTCTCACTCTCCCCAGGTGCTTCAAATTTCAAACATTATCAACACTTTCCCTGTACTCTTTATGGTGAGACTCCTTTTCTGGCATATTATTGCTAGTAGTTTACTGACTTGCTGTTTCTGGTTCTTTCTTTATGCTATTGTACACTCTTAACTTCTTCAAGCACTATAATCTTCATTTTCACTAGATTAGAAATCTGAAATCCTTACCGGAGGGCCTATGCCACCTCACCAATATTCAAACTTTAAATATTTATGAATCAAGGGCTTTGAATTCCTCACTTCTCTTCAATCTCTTCGACTCCAGAATTGTCCAAAGCTGGCATCTGTTCGAGTGGAGGGCCTGGCATCTGTTCTATATGTATATTATTTCAAATACTTTACGTTTTGATATGTACCCACATGTGTTGTGGTGGACCTAATAAGGCACAATGAGGTGCTTCAAATTGCCCCTTGTTCAGCTGTTGGTTATGCACTCCAGATGTACAGATTACCTTATTTGTCATTTTACTTTTATTTATTTTTATTTTACTCCATTTACTTAAGTTTACAATGTAAATAAGAAAGTACCCCCTATTTGGATTCAAATAAAAATACTAAAAAATCAAATTCCCACCAAATCAAAATATGAAAAATCGGTTTTAGGGTAAAATACAATTTAGGCTAAAAATGATGGCTCATTAAGTCAATATATACTTCATACTAAAATCCCATAAAACCAAGTTTTCTTATTTGATGTGTAAGAAATAAAAGCCGCCAAAATTATCTCGAGAAAATGATTATTCCGAAAAACCATTTTTCATACTTAGTCAATATTTTTACATAAAACATTTTTATGTAGATATGAATGCATGAAGGGACCTAAGGTTTTTTTTTAGTTTGTGAAATTTTGATTTTTTTTCTTTCTATTGTGTTTAATGAGGGAAAAAGCTTGAAAGATATTTTCTAAATCACTACTCTTTGTCTATCTCTTGCAATTTTTCTTGCTTAGAATGTATTTGTCTATCCCTTTGTCGAGGACAATTATGATTGCAACCAATAAGCAATATAATTCTTGACATATGTGATATATATATATATATACTATTTTTCGTATGTATTGTGAGTTAGAATTTTTTATTCTTTATAATTTGTAAGAGGCCTCTACACACATGAAATCCTGGCTTCGTCACTGGTTTGGCTCTTTCACTTTCACAATTTTATATCTCTGAGTGTCCAAAGATATTTTGGGTCACATCTTCAGATCTTATCTTTGGACGATACTGGCCCAAAATATCCCACATTCCTTCAAATTTCAAACATTATCAACCTTAATGGGTACCATGAAATAAGAATGTCTTATTATTTTTCAGATATTCTTGTTTTCTTCAATTTAGTTGGATTTTACAACAATGTATGTTTCCCAGGTGGGTCTTTTTCATCTACAGCTGCTTCAAGAGAGAATCCCCCATGCTAAACGACAACGATTTATCGTGTACATGGTAAATCCATCTTTATTTCCCTTTATGATATATTTTAAATTCAGGAAATGGGAAGACTTAAAAAGGCTCTTCCTTAATAGGCACTTGCAAACATGCTATCAAAATTTGAATGGAGAACATTTGAAATATATATAGTAAAAGAAAGTACTTCATTTCTCACTTGGTTTGCCTTGTAATATTTTGTCATCTTTCTGCTCAGAAAACTTTTAGCCATATTTTTCTTTCTTTTGTTCGCTTGACTTCAGTGTCTTTCCAAATTCTCTGTAATGTAGGACAAGATCTGGCTCAGTTATGGTGGGAAGAATGAGGATTTTGATGTGAATCACTGGATCACAATAGAAATTATAAACAATTACTTTTATTATAATTGATTTGTAATTATAGGAATACCAGTTTGATCGGGATTGTATTTATTTTCTTTTTACTTATTGTAATTACTTCCTAGATAGGCTTGTATTTGTATCACTATAAATACTTATGAGAAGAATAAAATATACTGAATTATTCATAACCCTAAATTCTATTTGAGTGATATATCATTGAGATTTTTGGGTTGCTTGATTAAGTTTGAAGCACAGAGGATTATTTGCCATATTTATATTAATTTATATTTTTTTAAAAATAAGTAGGATATTATTTTCTTGATATGATTTTAACTATAATTTTTATTATTTTATTGTTTGCTAAGTTTTAAGAATATTCTAGAACTAAGGCTTCCTACAGATCATTTCCTTTCTATTCAAACCCACTCACAATCAAGGTTGAAATGAGTAAGTTCCATAACCCTCCGTTTGGATGAAAGAAATATCAATTTCTACTCTTCAATTCCCGACTTTGAGCTAAATCTCAAGTTATTTTCCTCTATCCAAACATAAGGTAAGAGAATTTATAGCCATTGATGTATTTATCTTAGTTCTACTTCTACTACAACCGTTCTATTTTAAACCATAAAATAGGCGATGTTTTATGCAAGGTCCTTATTTTGCTGGACATCTTGCATCCATATTTGTAACAATGGTGGTATGTGATGCTTCACATAAATAACTGTTGTTGGAGACTATATGATGAAAAGCTTCTCCATACCCAGAAAGGCTACAAATGGTTGTTGTTTTTTTCCCAGAAATTGTAATCAGTCATATTGACACCACCAAACGGCTACTAATATTACTTGCTTTTACTTATTTGTGTTATCCAAACGTACTTTGGAGGAGACTTGCTGGACTAAAACGATATTAATTATGAGGAAATTCATGCACTTTGCTCTTAGGGCCCGTTTGAACTTCCATGAGATGAGAGTAAGGGAGAACACAAATATGTGGCTGGACAAAAGCAAGTGTGTGAGTGAGTTTAAAAAAAAACCATGTCAGGATCAAACATAATCAGACAGGATGCAGCATGAGCTGGGGCTGGGCCATTAGAATTGACTAGACACACTATTGATTCAAAACTCAATTATCAACTTCTACTTTTCTATGTAGTGTGCTAATTACATTCATACCCACTTGATTCAGAGTGAATCATTCATTCCCACTGCATCGCTAATTATAACCTATAAGATCGCACATTGAAAAGGAATCGATTGGGAAATTATGAAGAGAATGAATGATTTTGTGACTTGGTCAAAGTCAATGTGAAAGTCAAAGGTCAAAGTCAAATGTCAAATGTCAAAGGTAAAACGGTTGACCCGACACTTGACACAGTCAACCAAGGATGACCAGGACCAACCCTCGTTAGACAAGTAAGTGATTGAATTAGTCAAGTCACTAGCACTACTACATTTTAGTCTTTGCGCGACGAAAGGGTTTTCGTCGCGCAAAAACGATTTTCGTCGCACATCATTATGCGCGACAGAATATTCGTCGCGCACAATCCGTCGCGCAAAGGTCGTGAAGAAAGGATTTGCGCGACGAACAAATGTCATTCGTCGCGCAGTTTGCGCTACGTATAACATCTTCGTTTCAAAAAACATTTCGGGACGAAGCAGAGGTCGTCGCACAAATATTTGCGCGACGAACCAGAGGTCGTCGCAAAAAAAACTGCGCGACGGAATTGTCCGTCGCGCGAACTGCATGAACCTTGCGCAACGACATCTTGTTCGTCGCGCATACACATCTTGCGCGACGAAATTACTCGTCGCGCAAGATTAAGATATATTTAAATGTTTTTGCGCGACGATTTACGTTTCGTCGCGCAAAAGCAATATATATTATTAAAAAAAATTTATTATTATTTGATTTTTAATTTGTAAAAAAATAAATGTTGTTTTTTTTTTAATTAAAATGAAATTACAATTAAAAAAAATTAATCGTAAAGAAAACATCTATTATATAAAATAAAATAAATGTATACAAATTGTAAAATAAATTATAAAAATAACAAACTAATCAAATAATGTTCCGAAATCTAATTGGTCATCTGCCACATGCGGCTCGGAGGTATGCGGCTCGGAGGTATGGGCGTCTGCAGGGGCCGTGGTGTGCTGGGGATGCTCGGGCTGGACGGGCTCGGAGGTCGACGCACCAAAATTCGGGATTGGAATCCCGGACCGCGCGAGCGACTGCAGAATCACCGACATCTGACCCTCAAGCTCGGCAACCCGCGATGTCAAAACAGTCACCTGACTGTTTGCCTGCGACGATGACCGCGGTCGAGGTTCCCTCTGTCGGGCATTCCCCATCCCCCTACAATACGTTCCCGGCCTCCTCCCGAGAGTCTGATCCAACGTCTGCGTCAAAATCTGAAATCCAGCATCATGCGGAGGATCCACAGACTCGATCGGAGTCTCGGGAGGAAGTTGGGAGGCGGACTCTTGAAGAACCAACTGGCTCCTCTCCACCATCGTCGTCTGTTTAACATTACATAAAATATAAATTAAAAAATGCATATAAATTGAAAGTGTAACATAAGAATTAAAAATACATAATACTTACATGAAGGGACTCGGCCAACTCATCCCCAGGTCGAACATAAACGTCACCAAAGACGTCGATCTCTGGGAATTTCGACCCCCCCTTAATTGAACAAGAGAAGAAAAATATTAGTATGAACAAAAGAAATTAATAATAATGACATATTAAAAATTAAATATAAATTATATTATTCTTACCCGACGCCGTGCATCCATCCTATATGAGAAGGGCCTGGAGCCGGAATGGTGAAGAAGAGTCTTCTTCTTCCTATTGCCCTTATTCACTTGGGCTTTATTCTGTTATACAAAAAATAAAACGTAAGAATTGAACTATAAATAAATTAAATAATAATGAGATATAAAAAATAAAATAAACATTAAACAAATATTATTAAAAAATACCACATAATCGGGCGCCTGAAAATGAGCGCAGAGCCACGCCCAACTATCCTCCCGGCCCTCAAGCTCCTTCGGGCAACCCTCCTGAAGAGCGACTTCCGGATCATCAAAGGCCTGGAAATGGTGGTGCAAGTCGCTCTTCCACTGCTTGTACCTCT